TATTTTAGGCTCTGAACACTACAGAGTCTCTGTCATAGCTATTCAATTCTGTTGCAATTATGAAAGACAATACACAAACGAATGAGCACAGCAGTGTTCCATAAAATTTTGTTTCAGAAACAGGCAGTAGGCTGGACTTGACCCATGGACCATGTTTGCAGGCCCCTGTCTAGTGTATTAAAAGTTGGTATCCAGTATGTTAAAAGTGCTATAGAGAAAAAGAAAGTAGGGCAGAATAAGGTAAATGAAGAATCTACAGTATTTAAATGGAATGATCAAGACTCAAAGAATGCTCATTGAGCAATGACTTGAGAGCAGTAAAGTTAGGCAAGCTTTGGGAAAAGGGCACCGAAGTGAAAAGAACAGAAAAGGAATGGCTTAACGTGTTTAAGGAACAGCAAGCAAGGCCTGCACAGCCAGAGCAGAATGAGCCGGGAGGCCATCAGCAGGAGAGGAGGTGCAGAGGCTCATGGAAGACCAGGGCAGACCGGGCCTTGCGGGAGACCTTGTCCTGTACTAGTGTGAAACAGTCCTGGGAAGAGGAGTGAGATAATCTGACCTGCATTTTAAAAGGGCTGCTCTAGCTGCTCCCGAGAGCTCTGCAGCCTGGCGCAGGTAGAAGGGAAGAGAACAACTCGGTTACTGGAGCAGTCTAGACAGGACATTAGAGGCGGTCCAGATCAGAGTGGCAGTGGCGGCACCAGTAAGGTTTCCTGACAAAATGCATAGGGTCTACGAGACGGACAGGAGTGGAGGACGATTCCTCAATTGTTATTTGGTTTGAACAACTTGTGTCCATCAACGGAAATGAGAAGGCTAGACACAGAACAAATGTGGGAGGGAAGTTAAAAACTTCATGTTGGACGTGCTAAGTTTAAAGTTTGTCATGCGGAGATGTTGAATAGGTAATTGGATATGCGAGTCCAAAATTCAGGAGAAAAGTCTAGGCTAGAGATACACATTTGGAAAACACTGTAGAGGGACATTATCCAGGAAAACTGTAACAATGCTTTGATGCAGTAATTCTTCTCCTACATATCCTAAAGGAATGCATGAAGAGTTTTATTGAGATGAAAGCACAAAATTTGTTTGAAATAGCAGACATAAATGGAGAAATCTAAATCTTATCAAATGAGAACAGCTAAATATTACAATATAGTCAAACTAGAAAACACTCTGATGCAGGTAAAGAAATGTTTTATCTCTATGTACTAATACGAGGACCCAAAACATAGTATTAAAAAAGAAACATGAGTCCTGGCTAATGTTGCTCACTGGACTGAGTGCCAACCTGCACACTGAAAGTTCACCAGTTCGATTCCTGGTCAGGGCACATGCCTGGGCTGTGGGCAGGGTCCCAGTTGGGGGCATGCGAGAGGCAGCCAGGCAACCGATCAATGTATATTGCACACATCGATGTTTCTCTCCCTCTCTTTCTCCTGCCTTTCCCTCTCTCTAAAAATAAATTTTAAAAATCGTTTTAAAAAAAATTTTTTAATTTAAAAAGAAACATGAACAACATACACAGTATGAGTCTCTATGTCAAAAATAAAACAAGCCAATATACTGACGAGATGAGATTTAGACAGAGGCACAGAATGCAGAGATGTTGGTTAAGGGGCCTTTTACTTTTTTATACTATGTAAGTCTATACTGATTGAGTTTTTATGAGTTTATTCATATAGTACTGATTTACACTAAGTGAATTTAAGCTTAGAAATCATAATGTAAATTCTCAAGAAAATTTTTTAAAAAATCAAATACCTAAAAAGGCATTTTTCCAGTAATTTATTTTTTAAAATTCCTCTACAGAACTTTTGTAATTTTTATAATCTCATGTGTTTTAGTTTCAAAAGTAATTATGTCTATGTTTTTAAGATGTTTACACATATCATACATTTATCTGACTTACTTCTTTCTGGAATCTCTCTAATGTAAGTTTTCTCTGCATTTGGTCTTGCACCCAAGGATCAGCTGCATATTCAGATTCTAGAAGAGAAGTCCAACAATTTGCTGCATCTCTCTTTGTCTTTGTAAGAACAATACGAACCATTTTTCTATCCTCTAAACAAACAAAAATCACAAAGAAATTAGAGTTCATTATTAAATTATATATTTTCAAAAAACCCATTAGGCAGCCCTGACATACAACTGCTGTTAATACATTTCTATTACTTTATCTTCCAAAGCTGGAAGGACAAAACACTTAATATAACAGCGAGAACAAACTAAGTTCCAACACAAAATTAATTTTTAAAAAAACTCTAAGACTTGTAACAGATTACCCTTACCCAAAGTCCACGTTCCCTCATCAGCTATTGTAGAATCAAAGAGCTTGCCCTGAAAAATAAACATAAAAGGTACTAAAAATATAGAAACTTCATTTAATTTTCACAAAACCTTCATGATTTAAGACCGACCTAATTTTCTACCTAATCCACATGTAATTGTCTCATTTGGTTAGAAAAGGGAGACAAAATTTTGTATCATTTCAACACATGGATAAGTGCTCAGCCCTAAGTTTCTTCCTAACAAGTGAAAGGAAACCCAGTTAACACTGCTTGGAGAATTTACTATGATAAAGAATACAGGGCTCTACGAAAAGATCAGGGCTCCTTAATTTTTAGAAGATGAAGAAATACTACTGATCACTGATTAGACAAATACAAAATTTATATCTGAAATTAATTAAAATATTATTTTATTAACTAAAATAAATTACAAGAGCTCTCCTGATGAAAGTAAGAAGAAATGTCTTTCAGTGTAAACTAAAAACTCGCTCAACCTCTTTGTTGTGCAATTTAACATTAAAAAATTATTTTAGTACATTCTATACATCTGAATCAGATTAGTTGTTTCTGTTTGGTTTTTTTTTTCAGAAACTCAATTTTAAGGAAGAAGCGAAATGTACATTAAATGAATGCATCTGCTGAAACCCATTTTGATTTGCTGCTTGCCAAATGTTTTTGAAAACATCATGTTAAAAAAAGGATACATTCTTTTTTTTTCATATATCAATACTTGTCTCTACTGGTCTAAATGTACATCTAATATCCTAGAGTTAAAAATTATCGCTAAATTCCCCGATTATTGGAATTACTATGGTAAATTTGAATTGTAATCTTAAACCACTGTTCAAGAAATTATGAACTACACAAATATTCAGAAAGGTCATTTAGATCCAAGCTGATATAAATCAATGTCTTTCACATGAGTCTTCCTTTTCTCAAAAGCACTCAAAGCACTTCCATAGAAAATACTAATAGCTACCATGTCCTATGTGCTTATTACAGAGGAGGCACTACTCCAAGCTCTTCATTCACATGGATACCATGGTATGCTCAAAACAGTCCTATAGAAAAGATACTGTGATTACTTAACTTTTTGGATAAACCTTAGACACTCTGAAGAATTTCTTGCCCGAGATTAAAAAACTAGAAAGGTGGCAGAACCGGGTAACCTACCAAGTAGACTTCACCGTGCTGTCAAACATCGTGGTCATGTAATCTAAGAAAGGAATCTAACTTCGACTTAATTGAATTGTAAAGCTTAATAGGGCAAAAGTGGATCCCAAACCCAAAGGGTGCTGGTGAGAATAAAAGGGGTATTGTTTTCTTCACACACCCCTTGACCAACTGCTTAGCCACTCCAAACAAGCAGAATTTCTCTAATTTTTAGGTGAGAAAAGTCACGTGACATCATCTCTGAATCCTCATCCCGTTATCCTTACCCTTGACTGTCTGCTTTCCTATAACTGCCTAAACATCTATTATTTTAGGTTTTTGTGCCTCCCTGCTTGCCGTAACCTGAGTGCAGGCACCGTTTGTCTCATTCGACGCGGTCCTCCCAGCACTTAGGGCGGTGCCGGGAAGAGTGTATGGAATATAAATACTTGTTTCTTTAGCGATCTAATTACGCTATTCTCAGCTGAAGACCCCAAAACGAACAACAGAAAGAGATTCATTTGGTTTAGAAATAAAGTCAGAAAAACGGGCTCCTCAAATTTCCACGTCAACTCAGGACTGGCCCTGGAGGTGGGGTCTCAGACCAGACCAAAATCAGGCCAATTTTACCGCTCTTTCGTCCAGCCAGAAAAAACCAACGGCCTTCCAACACTTTTCCTACGGAAACCATGAACCGTAGGGCTCGGGGATTTGGGGGGAGGCCTCGAAGAAACTGGGCGCAAGCCACGACCTGCCGCTACCTTGAGGATCTCGCGGCCACCCACAGCCAGCGACACATGCCGGCTCTGCAGATCGCACCGGATATCTTGGGCGCGAGTGCCTGGCGGTACCCGAACTTCAATGAACACCTCCTCCAAGGTCTGGTACCACTGGCCCCACGGCGTCCCGCATGGAACCACCCCACTGCGCTCCTCAAACGGGGCCGACATGCTCCAGTCGCCTCCCGGCGGCAGCTGCACTAAGCGAGTTGAGCGCGTGCGCCGAATCCCCACGCTCAGGCCCCGCCCCGGCCCGCCGCTCGGGTCACTACTCATGCGCAGAAATTTAAGCTGCGGTCTCAAGAGTGTTTGATTTTCCCTTTCAATGGCTACTTAGGGCACTGGCAGGACCCAACTTGAAATAACTGACATCCAGAAAAGATTACATCCAAGGAATGGTGGGAGAGGGTTGGAATCAACAAAGCTGGAACTCACTGCATCTCCATCCCAATGACGCCACAAATCGACTTCCAACTCCTCAGATTTGAAGTGCGCTTGCGCACATGCTGCTAGTGCGTAAGTTACAATTGAGTAACGCCGGAAATGATTGGGTACGCCCCCCTAAACTCACAAGCCACCTGATTGGACGCGATGAGACATTAATACGCATGCTCTTTGCATGTTCGTTTCGTGGATTGGTGTACCCAGGGTTTTGGTTTTCCAATTGGCTAACGTCGAGGAGGGCGGGGAATGACCTAGGCGATTTGAATTTGAAGTCAGTAATTCCGAAATCTGCACCGGGAAGCTGTGGAGGAACGCTAGTACCCTTCGGTTTGTGGAGCTGGTCGTCAGCATGTCCTTTCCCAAGGCGCCCCTGAAACGATTCAATGACCCTTCTGGTGCGTACGGGGGAGGGACGGGAGTGGCTGTCACGGCTCTTGCGCCTTTCGGTTCCCTCTCTCAGAGCGAAATAGGCGGTTTTAGGGCTGGCATGGGACTCGTTCAGTTGACTTAGATATTTTTTACGTGCCCGGCACTATTTGGGACGGTAAGGATACAGCAGTGAGCGAAGCAAAGTCCCTGCTCCAGGGAGCTTCCACTCAGAGGGAGAATACAGCCAAGAAGCAGTGCTCTGTAGACACTAAAGCAGAGAGCAGGAATGAGGGTGAGGAAGCATCGGTCACTAGTTGATGGTCAAGTGCGAACGGCCTTACTGATTAAAAATAAAAAAGAAAGAAACACTTGACCATGCTTTTTGTCCGAACTTGTGGATTTCTTGTTGGATATTCCATTCAGGCACCAAAGAAAGAAGGTTGGTAAAGGCAGCTTGTGATTGTAAAATTATGGCAGTGCCGAAATCACTATACATGAAGTGATGGCCGCTAATGTTGACGGTGTCCCAAGCACCATACCATGTCTGTACGTAGATTATCAGTTCTGTTTTCACCCACCAACGTCCTGGAGAGGTAATCCTAAATATTATTCATTATTTTACCGATAAAAAAAAGAGCAAGACTTAGATTTCCTTAGTGTTACACAACCAAACTGTCAAAACTAGTGCATGAAGCCAGGCCTTCATGAAAACCACGTTGTGCTCTTAACGACTGCGGGGCACAAGCACAATAACCAGGAAGCCTTGCATGCGTTTAGTAAGACACTCATCATTTATTAGAGGCTCACTGAATGCAGGGACGGTGCCAAGGTTTTTACTACCAGATCCGGTTTGTTTTTCCCAACAGCCAAATGAGAAAGGTACTGATATGTTGTCGTTATTTTACAAAGGAGGGAACTGACGGGTTTTGTAACTATTGAGTAGCCTGTAAGTGGTAGAGCTGATCCATGATTTACCCACTAATACACATTTAATGGACACTTTTTATGTCTTGAGTCTCTGTCAGACAACATGGAAATGTTTCTTATTCCCCAACTTCTCCCAATGACTGCACAGTTCCTGACACATAGTAATGTCTGTTCATGGGCAGACAAAGCTGGATTTGAACCCTGATCTGGCTGATTCCAAAATCCTATTCGCTTTGCCACATCCCGGATGACTTTCTGTGTCTTCCTCACCGCACTCTGACCTTAACCTCAACCCTGAGCTAATACTGGGGATACAGTCATATTGAGACAGTCCCTACCTCTAAGCAGCTTGTCTAGTGTGGGAGATGGATGAGTACATGGTCTAATGTGGGAAGTGGATAAGCACACTGTTATAAGCCTTTACAAAACTGACGAGCTCTACGATAGGAACGGTACACACACCCCCTGCTCTGTGGGGGTTCTAACCTGACTTCAGGAGACTTCAGAGGAAACCTGAAGAGGGGACATCAGGCTGAGGTCTGAGGGATACGTGAGAGTTAGCCAGGCAAAGTGGAAGGTGGACTTAGCCATTCAAGGCATAAGAAGTAGAAACTAAAAAGTTCTGCAAGTTCGAGATATTTATATTGTTATGCATAAAATGTTTGCATCCAAGCATTGACTGCCTGTGTGAGTATCCGATTATTGTCGCGCAAGATGTAAGTTGTTCCAGAAAGCTTGTGGTGTCTCCCAAGTTATCTTCTTTGGTCTGATGTTCCCTCTCCCCATATTTCTAACAAGTCATATCTACGATGTGGTACCTTTAAGTGCCAGGTAGGAAAAGACTCATAGCAGGAAACCAGCATGTGCCCCAGTCTCACAAAGAGATGGTAGGTACAGGCAGGATTTCAACCTAGTTCTTTTTTTTTTTCTAAATACCTATAACTGTCAAATTTGACCCTTCAGTTTTCAGGGAAGAGTTTTTAACTGTGGTTTTAATTGGTCTCACCTGGCACGATTCTGCTTGGTTACTGCCCACCAACTCTTCTTACTGGCCCTTATCCTCTTTTGAGAGTGTGCACCCAATGATGAATTAGAACACTTGAATTCAGCATCGCTTTTTTTCTGGCTGCTCTGCCAAGTCCAGAACAGTGCTTCTCACACTTTCCCCTAAAAGCATCCCTAAGAACAAAGAGCAAAAGACAACCTTCCCTTCATTCCCACTTCTCCCCGAAGGGCATTGTCTACAACAGTGGTGTCGGTTTCCTTTGGAGTCTCCTGTTTGCTTTTATAGAGAGAGAGAGTAATTATATTTTATATATGTAAATATATAATTATATAATTATACAACTTATAATAATGTAGATATGATTATAGAATTTATAATTATATAATTAAAATATTTTAAAATATAATTATATATAAATTATACATATAAATATATATATATAAACTATAATGTGTTCCCCACTGAGGGCCCCACCCCTATCCCAAGTGAGTAAATAGATGCTCTAAGATGTGCCACCGTTAACCTGATTTTAGAGAAAAACCCATCACCGTACTGTTAACTCCGTGGTGTTAACAGCTGTGGGGCATGGGAAGTCTAAGCTAGCTAAGATTGATGCTTTTCGCTAAGTCTGCCTTTACCTTAGATGTCCCAGTGAATTCTACAGTTCATTTTAATACTCTCTCCTGATTAGAAACCCTCTACCTCTACCCCTTACTGACCGCATTTAGATCTGAAAGCTCCTGGGATTGGACTCTCTATGTCAGTGTATATAAATAATCATTGTTCCAGGTAGAGGAGTGGAAATTTAATTCCATCCCTGATGTTTTTCTGGCCTGCTTAGAATGGAAAGCAATGACTTTAATACTTTTTTTATTGTGTCCCAGAGTGAGAAATAAATTAACATATTTCTGTGTGGGGTATATTTTTATATTTCTACACAAAACTGAAACAGAAGTACCACAAAACGGTGCTTAGATTTGCTACTTGTGAGTCACACTGATATTTTCTATTGCTTCACTTTGTTTAAAAAAAAAAAAAAAGCTAGTCAAGATATAAAAATGAGCCTCTGTCATCCCATTTGAAAAACTCCTTGGGGACAGTAGGAGTTGCCTTGGAACGGTCAAACTCCTTGCTGTTCCTATTTGTTTGCATGATACTCTGGACTGAAGTAGATAGCTTTCCAGAGAATGGTGTAACTATTGATTCCCAATCAGCTAGAGCTTTATGCCAATGGTGTTCTTATTATTGTCAGCCCTGAGAGCCAGATCTTACGTTTGTCATGCACAAACACTCTGAAATGCCTTCAATTTGGGACTCCAGTTCCTGACACGAGGCTATACAATACAAATTTCTGGGACACAGGTATATAGTCCATGGCTTTATCAGTTTTCTGATATATTGAGATTAGCCAGGGATAGGTTATCATTATAAACTTTCCAGGCTGACCCTGGAGGGCTAGACACTTTTGGTTGCTTCATTTCTAGAACCTGATGGTGGTTACCCTCAGTGACTCTGAGTAGAGTTGATTCTGAATATGTTGTTGTAGTCAATGCTGATTAAGGAAACCAGGTCTCTTGTTCCTACAGGATGTTCATCCCGAGACTGTCTTTGCTGTTCTGCTCAGTTGCCTATGTCCTTTGACCCAATTGAAATAAAGGGCCTTTGGGAACATAATGATACTGTTCCTCATATGAAATGGGTGCTATTTTTACATTTGAAAACCCAAAGCATTTACTGATAGCATTTTTACATTTAAAGTACTCACTTTACTTTGGCATTGTAAGTAACAGTAGGTGAGACGTTAATGGTTTGTGTTTCCTCTAGGTTGTGCACCATCTCCGGGTGCTTATGATGTGAAGACTTCAGAAGTATTGAAAGGACCAGTATCCTTTCAGAAGTCACAACGATTTAAAAAACAAAAAGGTAATGGATCTCAAAATAAAATAATGGTTACATGATCTTGTAAGTTTTAAAATTATGAAGACCAACAGTAAATTTAAAGAAGGTACAATATTTCTAAGATTGTGGAACTACAGCTATATTTAAATTATTGTATTTGATGGATTTATAAAAGGGTCAACTACAGAATAATGCTTTTATCATTATACTGTTGTATAGCCAGGAAAGTTAAGCAAGATCACACACATAGATATGTAGTTTCTCTTTTGATAATTACCTTAGCCTTCTGTCAGGGAACATTAGGAAAATCAGGAAAATGTTAGATGTGTAAAAAATATTGTACAACTAATTATTTGGAAATGTACAATCAAGAAAAGAATAACTTCAGCCCTGGCTGGTGTGGCTCAGTGGACTGAGTGCTGGCCTCTAAGCCAAAGGGACACTGGTTCAATTCCCAGTCAGGACGGATGCCTGGGTTGTGGGCCAGGCCCCCGGTAGGGGGTGCTTGAGCGGCAACCACACATTGATGTTTCTCTCCCTCTTTTTTCTCCCTCTCTTCCCGTCTCTAAAAATAAGTAAAATCTTTTTAAAAAAGAATAACTTTATATTGATTCACTAATAGTTACAATAAGAAATTTTTTTAAATTGTGTTTTGTTTGTGGTTCAATTTATTACAGAATCTCAGCAAAATTTTACTGTTGACAAAGATACTACCTTGCCTGCTTCAGCAAGAAAAGTTAAGTCTTTGGGATTAAAGGTAGGGAACCCTCATGTTCTACCTGGTTTATTAACTGTATCATTGAAAATATTCTTGAAAGATACTGTATTTGACTAGAATGGGTTAAGTATATACATTAAGGTTATAAGTAAACCTATAAATTAGTGAAACATTATTATTAGGACTCTGGTAAGCTTTACATTTCTACCTCCACCATTACTAAATATATTGTGCTTACATGTGCCCCTCGTTCAGAATTACAAAATGGTCCCCACTCAGTCATTTCTATATCTAGATAAACTTTGTAATACCTAGTAAGCTTTTAAAAATTATGTGATGCTTTGATTTATTAGCTACTGTCATTTGAGTTGTTTTGTTTTCGTTTTGAGGGAAGGGTAAGTACTGGAAAAGAAAAAGGAAAAAAACACTCTAGTGTCTAAAAGATGTTTACTATTCAGAAACTGCCAAGAAGTGGAGGGAGATTAAATTCTTATTAGATTCATGTTATTGCTTGTGAAAGAGCCTACCGTTACTGTTTTTGTTCATTTGTAAAAACAAGTTTTACTTTCTTAAGGAGATATAGAAATTGATATTTTAATTTGAAAAAAGATTCAGAGTTCAGAAACTGAAGCCATGAGTTGAGCTTAGACTTTGGTATTTATTTAATTTTAATAAACATGCATATATTTAAAAACTGTTGGAAAATTGTGAAATGTTTTCAGAACAACTTAGGCATGCAAATCTACTTCCTCATCTGTCTGTTTTATGAGATCTCAAATACAGAGAGAGATTTCTGATGAAAATTTAGAACCTGAATTGAGATGTACTATAAGTGTAAAATACACAGCAAATTTTGAAGACATGGAACAACAAAAACAAAAAAGATCTTACTATATAACTTTATATAATGATTTGTTGAAATAATATTTTTGATATTTTGGGTTAAATAAAATATATTATTAAAAATTGTACTCTTTAAATATGGCTACTAGAAAATTTGAAAAGAAATATATAGATTGCAGTATATTTCTATTGGGCAGCACTGATACAGACATTTTTCTTGGAAATTGAGATAAATTTCTTGACTTAAATTTCTTGGAGAAATAGTTCTGAAATTTTTAATTAGTTATAGAATTCAAAAACTCTCCTAAAAAACTAAATTAAAAGAACAAGCTTCAAGTTTGTGCAAAACCCCAAAATAATAGGCCTTTCTTAAAAGAAGATGCCATCAGGTGGTAAATTAATAAACATGAGACTGGTATGCCTCCTCCACCCCAACTTAGAAACATATGAAACAGATTTCATTTAATATGTTTATGCATTTTATTCTATTTTTAAGTGGAAAAGATAGGTATTCTGTTTTTGGTCATTGTCTCCAAAAGGCTTTTGAAGACAATGAGTAGATTAGAATAGGAGCTGATACTCTTTCACTTTTTCTCTATTTCTTTGTATTTTCCCTCTTTTTTTGGTTATTTAAGTTCAAGTTGATTTCTCTTAAGAACCTTACAGGTTCTTTTCTTTCTAATATAGAGTAATTAAATATTCAAAATGTATTGCTGTTTAGCATTAGAAGTAGTCAGTATCTTTATTCATAAAGTTCCACCTGTTCTTTTCACTGGACACGTTAGGGGAAAAAAACTAGTCTATTGAAATGAAAATTTTTAAGCCTGAAATATTTTGAGATTTAAAAAACCTTTACCTTCATTAACCAGGTAAGTTACCTACAAAATATTTAATAGACTCAGGGGAATGTTTAAAATAGAAATGAATTGTTTGGAGTCCTCCATCCTTTCTGATAACTAAAAACCAAATTCAGCTATGATGTTTGTGGCACTTAAATTTGATTATCACTGTTCTTTGACTTTTAAATAGAAGGAACCTCAAAAGAATGATAAAGACTTGAAGATGCTGGAAAAAGAGGTAAGCAACGCTTTCAACCTATTGAGAAATAAATGTACTGTGTAATGGAACGAGAGTGACACAGAAAGTTAAGAGTCAGGGATTCAGTTGCAGTTTGGGGAGTCACTCTGGATGGCAAATACGCCATCCAAATGAGTGCCCCCGGGGCAGTCATTCCTTGGCCTGGACACCGTACTTCAGAGCCTGGTTGTCTGTATGATATGCTTACAAAGTCAAGTTATACTCAGGGACAGACTCAGAACAGCCCACTGAATGAAAAAATGATAACTAAAAATCAGTATGTTAGTTTACTACAATTATGTGTAGATCAAGTATTTACATTTGCTTTTCCTGTGCGCTTCTACATGTATTAAGACAATGACTGACTAGGGAATTGCTTAGGGAGCATGAAATAGTAGCAGGTTAGTTGGATTGTGATGGAGTTATGCTAATCTGATGCATTCTTCTGCATCATATGTATATGCCTCCCTCAAGGATAAAATGATGTAGAGCAGCACTGTCCTATATTGTAACTACTCACCACATGTGACTATTTAAATTAAATAAAGTTATGACCTCAGTTCTTCAGTTGCGCTAGTTGCAGTTCAAGGGCGCAACAGCCACATGTCACAAGAGGCCACCATACTGGACAGTGCATTTCCAGCACAGCAGAAATTCTGTTGAGCAGAGCTGACCTGCAGAACCCACTTACCCCTCTAAGCAGGACTAAGCTGGCGACTCCCAGCTCTGCTTTTCTGGCAGTCTTTTATTCATGTTTCCATTACTGACTCTTCTGGTGGACATACTCTTTTGATATATTAAAACCTTCCATTGATTACAGTTAAATACTGGTTTAGGACCAAGAATATGTCAGGGCAACTTTGCAAATCTCTGCCGTGGTTACTGTGATCCTTTTGTATTTATTTTAATAATATTGGCTATCATTTTATTGAGGATACAGGCAAGGGATTAATGGGAGGGTCATATGTGAATCTCAGATAACAGGTAAGTAGCCGCGCCAGGATTAGAACGAGTCCTTTGCGTCAGTTAATCTTTTAGATTTTTGGCAAATAGAGCTCTGTTTTATTTAAACCCCCAAGTATTTGTTGTTTTTTAACTTGAATTAATTGTCAGTATTTAAATGTAAAATTTCGCGCAAAACAAATTCAGATTTCTGACTTCTGATGCAAAGTCAGCTCTTGACAACTGAGCTTCCACATTCCCCTGCCAGGCAATGATCTGCCAGGGCTGCACAGGGCTGCTCCTTTGGACCCCACATTTGCCTCAGTCCTCGCCCAGCTGGCTGTCTTTGCTTATTAATACTATCTGCTTGGCCATGTAGGCACTAGAGTTCACAAACCATTTTTGGAGCTTAAGCTTCTTTAGCTGCAAAAAGTGTGATGTAGATTACCTCATTGTCCTTTTTTACTAAGCTATAAACACCAGTTACAAACCAATAATATAAGCATAGAGAATCTTATGGTGGGGAAAGTGAGAGCTCTTATAGATAAAGATCTTAAAGATGAATAAAGAGTTTAATTACACCGGGAGGTTAATGGCGATTAAAGTCCTGAATTCTCAAAATGCTTATAGATTGTAAGCTGTATCATAACGTAAATGCAGTTGTTCAAACAGCCAGTGAAATTAGAGTATCTAAGAGCATCATGTCACAATCAGAGGTTTTCCCAGAACTTTAATATAATCATCAGCAGTTGCCATTTACATTGTCATTGTGTCAGTGAATCATTCCTGTGTCACCTTGTCTCCCTCCAGATTCGTGTCCTTGTGCAGGAGCGTGGTGCTCAGGACAAGCGGCTCCAGGACCTGGAAGCGGAGCTGGAGAAGATGGAGGCAAAGCTCAGTGCCGTGGTCAGGGAGAAAACGTCTCTCTCTGCAAGTAACGCTTCCCTGGAAAAGCAGCTTACTGAATTAACCAGGACCAACGAGCTACTAAAATCTAAGGTCCTTGAATTGCATGACAATAATTACAATTGAATAAATAATAAACGTGTTTTTCTCTCATATACTAGTTTGAAAATGTTAGACTCTAGCTTAGTTTTTTTTTTTTAACTAAATGTACCTTAAATATTACACTACTTCCAGTAGGAATTATTATTGCATTGTTTTTTTATTGCACCTGGCACATAAGTTATAGAAAAACAAGTGACTTTTTGTTTTAATATCTGACTTTTTCTTACCCTCTTTCAAAGTAACTCCCGTGAGGACATTAATCAAAGTTGCAGAATTTACATCTAGAAGTCACTTTAATCTTTCTTTGAGATAAAGAGCAGTATACTAGCAGGATTTCATCTCAAATACTTTGGGGAATAAATGAAGTGCGCAAAGAATAAGCGTGTTTAGTACATAAAGTATGTTCAATATTAACATACTACTAGGACTCAACATGGTCATTTTGCATCATTTTGTAGAGGTAGAAGGAGGCTGTGAATCACTGTTCAGTTTAAGAGACGTTTATTCGGGGCCTGTCATGTGCTGGGCTCCTCGTTTACAAAGGGAGGTAGGGTGTGTAAGAAAGAACCGTGGGGAAGGGAACAGATTCCCAGACCCCCTCCAGGGAGATCTGATTTAGTTGGCCTGGGATGGACCTTGCAGTCCTCACATACTTCAAAGTAGACCAGGCAATTCGGACGCACTTTGTTAAGCAAACACCCTTTGCACACTCCTCTTCAAGAAGTTTCTTTTAGAGCCTTGCAATGGATGTTCAGCATATAGAGATTAAGTGACCACCAGGCTGCTTTCAAAAACAGCCCAGGAAGTCACATGAAGGAAAAGGAGGGACAAGAACAATAGTAGAGTAAAATAGTAATCCTGGTGTTGGTCGAAGGCTGTTTGCTCTGTCAGAATATATTGCCGGCATGTAACAGTCCCAATAATTGGTAGGATAGTCAATATTTAAGTGACCTGATATGTGACTTAGCAGAAAATATTTCTGAATCTTTTGTATGTTTGCTGTACTTAGTTTTCTGAAGACGGTAACCAGAAGAACCTGAGGATTCTGAGCCTTGAGTTGATGAAACTCAGAAACAAAAGAGAAAGTAAGAAGAGGGTGAGTGAGACCTTTGCTAAGTGTGCTGTGCCTGGATCTTCGGATCTGAATGATCTCTCATTTCCTACAACGTGTTTCTGTCGTGTAGAGCATGATGGCTAAACAACAAGGAATGCAGGTGAAACTGCAGGACGCCCAGAAGAACCTTGAAGAGTCTCAGGGGAAGGTGGCACAGCTCGAGGGAAAACTGTGAGTGCCCAAAGGAAAGAGAAAGCGTCAAGTGCAGTCAGTTCAGGACTCCCCTTTCTCACCTGCTACTGTTTTCTGAGACTTTAACCTTCCCGCAATACTTACCCCATTGCCTTCTTCCAGTTGCCTTCTTTCTCTCACATGTGACAGTTGAGACCTATTCATTCCCAAATGTTTGAGGCTGAAAAGACATATGACGATTACTACTTTTGTACATCTTCTGGATCAGTGATGAGGAGAGGCCTCATAATCCTTCCACCAGTGTAATCTTGTGGAAGTGGTGAAATTGACCCAGAATGAGAAGTTCTGGTATAGGAGGCTTTGCTTAATGTACAGCCCTAGCCTTGTTTTTACTACTGAGCTGTAACTGACATGCAATAAAATGCACAGATCATAAGCGGTCGGTTTGGTGGCTTTTGACCGTGGTATGTACTTAAATCACCACCACCCGAATACGGTGGAGAATGCAGCCGTCCCCCCAGAAAGCTCCTTTATGCCTGTTCCTGCTTCTCCCTGTATAGGGCCCCCAACCCTGCACCCACTTTCTGATTACATCATCATAAGTTGGTTTGGCTTTTGGGAGGACATCTATCATAGCATGTATGTGTGTGTTATAATTTGCTCCTTTTAATTCCTGAACAGGATTCCATATGTGAATAAGCTTCCATTTGTTTACTGTTCTCCTGTCGAGCAATGTGTTTTTCTTTCTTTTGAGTAAATATGTAGGAATGGAGTTCCTGGGTCACAGTGTAGTCTGCATCTGACATTTTCAGAAACTCAAAATACATGAACCATTTTATATGCCCACTTAGCAGTGTATGATAGTTCCCGTGGTTCCACATCCTCACTAACATTTGATGTCGCCATTGCGATTTAAGCCCTTCTTATAGCTGTGAAATAGTATCTCATTGTGATTTTAATTTATTGCTATTAATGTCAATTATATTTTATTGACCGTTCGCATATATCCTTTTGCAAGGTGCCTAGTTAAGTCTTTTTCCCATTTCTTAAATTGAAGTGATTGGACAAGGTTTAACACATAAATAATTTTGTACGAGACAGCCTGGAGCAAAGGCTTTATGGCATGCAATATGCTATTTTTGTATGAGTGGTGAGTGGGGACACCAGGAAAGCTACAAAAAAGGTGGAATGTTGTAGATGATGGCTCTCATTATCACAGCCGTTTTATCAGAATGTATTTGGAAAATCTCTTCACTTGAAAAAAAATTGTCTTCTATTTGCATATATTAAAATACCAACCTGAGATGTCACATAAATTAGTAGTTCAGAGTTTAGACTGAGGAATCAGCCTGCCTAATACAACAGTATCTGGTACAGAGAAAGCAAGCATCATGTGTGATTATTGTGCATAGTAATATATACCTTTCTTTTTTCAGTGCTTCCATACACAAAGAAAAGGTTGATGAAAAATCTGATACAGAAAAACTCTTAGAATACATTGAAGAAATAAGGTAATATTAATAGAGGTTTTAAATTGGTTCTCATTTTGTTGAAGGATGATGAATACATCATTTTCATCTCTTAATTTTCCCCATGTTGAAATAGATAGGCTCTTCAAAATAATTTGTTTTAATGCAGTTGTGCCTCAGACCAAGTGGAAAAATACAAACTAGACATTGCCCAATTAGAAGAAAATTTGAAGGAGAAGAATCATGAAGTTTTAAGCCTTAAGCAGTCTCTTGAGGAAAACACTGTTACCTTGTCTAAACAAGTAAAAGACCTGGATGCTAAATGTCAGCTACTTGAAAAAGAAAAAGGTATCTAGTGTTTACAGTATTACTTTCTTCAGCTAAGTACTATATACAGTATTTAAGAAAAGTACTGCTATGTTTAAAACAACTGTTTTTTTTAAAGATTTTATTTATTTGTTAGAGAGAGGGAGAAGGAGAGGGAGAGAAACATCAGTGTGTGGTTGCCTCTCAAGTATCCCCCACGGGAGGCCTGGCCCACAACCCAGGCATATGCCCTGACTGGGAATCGAACTGGTGACCCTTTGGTTCACGGGCCCCACTCAATCCACTGAGCCACACTAGCCAGGACTAAAAACAACTTTTAAAAATAATTATATAAGCAACAACAAAAATTTCTGTTCTACATATGAGAATTTTAGTCTTCTATAATGTTTGTTCTACTTATTTTAATGCATTGCTTGTCATGATGTAAATATATACAATTGTGCAGTATTTGACTTTGGCCATTTAAAATTGGTAGATAAATAGAACTAGATTTGAGAGGCTTATTATATAACATATAAAGTAATGATATAGCCTTATAGGGGGGGTTTTTTCCCTTTGAAAATACTTGATCTCTTAACATGCTATGTGTGTATAATAAAATACTGTGGGGATATGTGGTGTTCAAAATTAATATTAGTGTTATTTACAGCATTGTTAATGCTTCCATTTTCTAGAAGACCTCATCAACAGGGAAAGAGAACAGGATGAAAGTCTAAATTCTGAAATGCAAAACTTAAAAGAGAAGTTAATTCTTGAAAAACAAGAACATGAAAAGCTACAACAAAAAGAGTTGGAAATTGATTCACTTCTGCAACAAGAGAAGGTAGTTTACTACAGTATAAAACAAAACTAGTGCCTATTTTATGTCATACATTTCCCTGTAGTTAGAATAGACCCACCAATTCTATTTTTAGAATTTTATCCAAGAAAATAATCATGGATATGCAGCAGATTTAACTACAAAGATATTCACCACAGTGTTATTAATAATGTGAAAAAATTACAAGCAACAGATGGAGCAAAATAGGGAAATTCTTTAAAAACCTTTTCAGCACATTCTTGTGTTAGATTACTACATAGACTTTTAGAGTTAAGCTATAAAAAAGTGTCTAATTACACAGAAACAAAACTGACCATTTTTAAAATCCAGATTATGTTAATATCATTTTGCATATCAGTGAGAAAAAAGATAGCCTACTAAGAAAAAATGGGCAGAAGCAGAAATTCAGATAGCCCATAACAGTTAATAGATGTTCTACCTTAGTAATAATCAAAGAAACGGAAATCCTTTTTTTTTTTTTCCACTTATATGATTGGCACTTATTTAAACCCTTTTGATAAAAGTGCTTGATGAGAGTTGAGCAATATTATATAAATATGTTGTTGGGGAACCTTCAATAATTAAAAGAATTAAGTAGATCTTTATATGCCGATTTGAAAATATCTTAACAATCATTTTTATGGTTTTTTTGAATGACCTTTTCATACATAGTATATATCCTTTATATTTTTAAAAGTATATAAATATATAGGAAAAGACCATAAAGCATATATATTTACTAAAGTGGTTATCTCTGGAATGGGGACCCTAAGATTAGGGTGGGACATAGTCAAAGGCAATTTTCACTTTCTTTATAATGTCAGAAATGTAAGTAAATTACCATCCTTTTATTGGTATATACTCATATAACTTTAAAATATTTTTATATAACATTGAAATAATAATCCTTTTTATATAATATGACAAAAATATGATAAAAGCCAGTTGTAGAACATGATTTTAGTTTTACAAAAGTGTGTTTGTGTATATTTGTTGCATAGAAACAAAGACTAAATTAACATTTATCACAATGTTGGCAAGTTATAGGATATAATTCCTGACAAAGTAAACATGGTATCTTCATATTTTTTCAAGTTCCCTTGAGAATCTTGAATTTGATATTCTTCATTATCTGTACATTTTTCTGCCCTTAATAAAACCACAAATTATTAAGTTATTTAAACCTTTCAAATAATGTTGGTGGCTTTCTATTGGATGTAGGAATTATCTTCTAGTCTTCAGCAGAAGCTGTGTTCTTTTCAAGAGGAAATGATGAAAGAAAAGAATCTCTTTGAGGAAGAATTAAAGCAAGCTCTGCATGAGTTAGATAAACTACAGCAAAAGGAGGGACAAGCTGAAGAGCTGGTCAAACAACTGGAAGAAGAAACAAAAGCCAGAGCTGAAGAGCTGACGCTTCTAGAAGAAAAGCTAAAGAGGTTCGTCCTTCTATGACCTCATACTTATATATGACTTAGAATTTTACAAAGTACAGAACAGTTCCCCTGATTACATTTTGATACTGTTCTCCCCAAAGCAGACATGTATAAAAACGTGTTTTTTTAATAAAAAATCACTCGTCACTAAAAGAAAACAGAAAAGAAATGAATAGCAATAGTATCCAATGAGATATGCCCACAGTTCTGAGACACGTTACATGTAGGCTCATGTCCAGTCCATGATTCTTCACTGGAAAACTTCTTAGTGATGAAAACACAAGGATTCAAATAATAAAATTGTTTGCCCCTTGGACTCAATCAACCTGGATAATTTAAGTAAATGAAGTGGAAGACACATAACATGATGAAAACAATATGAAACTAGAGTGAAAAAATTACATCCCATCTTAGTCTTTCTACTTCCAATGATACCTTTCTTCTTTTTTAATGTTTCCCGGTTTTGGTTGTTTCTTCACTTTTTGATTGTTATTTCTGAAGTGTTTGTGTTCCCTCAAAAAGAGATAACTAAAACTATAACTTACACTGTGTAAAATGATACACATGTACCCAAACATGGAAATCCATCTTTGCAAAATAATCTACCCAATAAGTAGTTGAATCTTTGAATAACAGTTTTTATGTGGGTTATTGATGTAATCAAAATAAATCCACACAATCCTATAACTCTTTCAAAAGAACTTTTAAAACAAAGTGTCCCTAACTGTTCTTAGTATTCTTAAATTTCTACATGCAGAGAGTTACATTTTATTCATTCCAAATGCTTTTTAACTAGTAATTCTTCACATTCTTTAATCTTGGCAGTTGCTGTTAATAATCTCTTTGAATCTTTTTATCTTACTTTCTTCCAAAAAGAAATGTTTAAACTAACTATATAAATACATGTGATATGAAAATATAAATTTAGAAATAAGTAAATCTGGATGAAAACAAAAGTAAAATTAGAACAGGAAAGATAAGATGAAGCCCTACATAATAAACATGCTATTAGGCCATAAGTTTAGATCTAAGCTGTCCGGTAGCTAATGTAAACAGGAATATGAGAGATCCACAGTGTCAAAGGTAAATACTAATCCCTTTCTTAGGGCAATGATTTGTAGTTGGCAGTTTATTTTTTCATTGTTTCTTTTTCTTAGGAAAGAAGCGGAACTGGAGAAAAATAATGCTGCTCACACTCAGGCCACGCTGCTTTTGCAGGAGAAGTATAACAGTGCAGTGCAAAACCTTGGAGATGTCACTGCTCAATTTGAAAGGTATTTTTATTGGGAGCCTGCACTCTGATCAAAATACGAGCAGGGAGGGGTGTTTATGTAAGAAAAACTGTCAACAACAAAATCACACAAAAATGAAATTATTGGCATCACTTTCAATTCCACAATGACCGGCCATAAATGGGCATTTAGTGTTACATGGTTGTCTTAGTATATAGTAATTTCCCTTTGATTTTAATGTGGCTAATTTATAGATTTTTATGTGAATACTTTTGCATCTCATTTCAGAATTTCTTTCTTTCCCAAGAACATAAAGATAGTCACCTTTTCTTCTAAAAGTTTTAGTTTCACGTTCTACTTTTTCACCTGGAACTGATTTCTATGTGCGTAGTGATACGGGGGTCAAATTTATTTTTGGTTTTCCATGTGGATAATGAATTGCCTAGTGCCAACTCGTTGACTAGTACCTTCTTTCCCAGTGATCTGCTCCTTCCTGTGATGTATTATATATAACATATATACATGCACATACAGATCACATTTTAATTACACTTTTTATGTCAGAGGAGAAATATAAATTATATAAATTTTATATTATGTAATATTTAGTGCTGTTCTCAATCCCAGAAAGGGATTTCTCTTCTTGCTACTTAGAAAAATAGTGCCTTGGGAGGTGTTCAGCCATTCTGTAACTTTAGTCACCATCGGTATGCTGACACCATTTAAATTTACTTCTTCAAACCACATGTCTGCATTCAGCTCTATACCCATATGTCCAGCCGTCTGCTTGACATCTCCAAGTAGATACTTCACTATTTTCTAATGGTAACCAAAATAACTCTTGATCTTCTTCCTATCCCTTTCTACTTGTAGTCTCTCATTCTTTTGTATCTCAGTCAATGACATCTTCCAGGCTTCTCATTCCATAAATCTTAGTGTCATCTTTGATCCTTTCCTCTCCCTTTCTCCCAACATCTAATCTATTTCTGGAATTTCAAAATTCTGCCTCCAAAAGAGATCTCACATCTTTCTGTAGCCAGCACCTTAGTCCAAGCCTTCTTTTTCACTCACCTGGATTGATAATTGTCTTTTAGTTAACCTTCCAGTGTTGCGCTATTGCACCTTCTCCAATCCATTCTCTGCCTATCTCCAGAGTAATACACACACTTACTTAGAGACCTCAGGGAACCCCCTGGAGCGCTGCAGTGAGGAGTGGCCTCCATCCTGTCTAGCTTCTGCTCTTGCCTCTCTCATTTATTCGGCTCTAGTTTCATCTTTTTTCTCCTTTGATTTTTCTTTTTTTTATTTTGTTTTTTGTTTTAAAATATGGTTTGCTTCATGAATTTGTGTATCATCCGTGCGCAGGGGACATGCTCATCTTCTCTGCGTTGTTCCAGATGTATATGTGCAGCCAAAGCGAGTTCTCCAGTCTCATCTTTCAGTGCACTATGTTCTGCCTGTCTCTGAGCATCTTTTCCCTGTGAAATACTTTTCCCTAACTGCCTCTCTAAATCTGTTTTTTCCATGATGTCTCAGCTTAACTATAAATTCCCCCAGAAAGGCCTTTTGTGAATCACCAACCAAAATGTCGTGTCCCCTGTTATATCAGCCTAAGGAGCTGTGTAGTTTTTCTTCATAACGCTTACCACTTACAAATTTAATTTTTTTTCCTTTTTTTTTGCAAACACCTGGAGAGACATTTTCCTGTCTTCCCTACAATACCATAAACTCTGACAGAAAGTCCAGGGATTATAGAATTTTTATTTTACCGTAATTTTTATGTTTAGTAGTTGGTTTTTTCTGTCTCTGCATGCATACTTCCTACACATAATAGGCACTTTATATTTCTTTTTTTATAAACAGCACATGCCATATAAGCTTATTAGTACTTACCCCTGAGCATTGAATTCTTACTTGTGTAAAGGCATACATAGATACTAAGGTTTTGTTTGTTTTACCTAAAATTTTATGAAGTATAAATTCATTGTCTATATATTTGCCATTTATACAACAGTTAGAAAAATCCTTCAACTTATTTTTCTTATTACTAAGCTGTAAAGCTTTAACAGCTAGGGAGATAGAAGATCTCAAGCTGGAGAACTCATCACTTAAGGAAAAAGTGGCCAAGGCTGAGAAAAATGCAGAGGCTGTTCAGCATCAGATATTGGCAACCGAGAGCTCAAATCAAGAATATGCCAGGTATGTAGCAGAAACAAATCCTGCCCACCCTGTGGCCCTCAAACCATTGAGACAACTTAATGTCGTTAAAAGCCAGCTATGAAGTGTTGCAGGGAATTGTAGTTGGTTTCATGGCTTGCTTTGGGTGATCTCAAATTACAAATTAAGAATTTATTCAGTTAGCCCTGACTGGTGTAGCTCAGTTGGTTGGGCATTTTCCTGCAAAGTGAAAGTGCCAGTTCACTTTGGATTTGCAATCAGGGCACATGCCTGGGTTGTGGGTTCGGTCCCTGGTCAGGGCCCATTGGAGAGGCAGCCGATCAGTATTTCTCTCTCACATTGATGTTTCTTTCCCCCTTTCTCCCTCTCTTCCCCTCTTCTCTAAAAATAAGTAAAATCTACAGAATTTACTCAGTTAAAAAGAAAATTATTGAAGAGGTCCTTAAGCCTAAAAAAAAAAAAAGGTAAAGAAAAGTAATTAAATGGCTATAAAATGTTTAGAGACCCTTCTCTCTCAAACCCAAGGATGCTTTTAGATCTGCAGACAAGATCAGCACTTAAAGAAGCAGAAATTAAAGAAATTACAGTTTCTTCTTTTCAAAAAATAACTGATTTGGAGAACCAACTGAAGCAACAACGTGAAGACTTTAAGAAGCAGCTGGAAGAAGAAGCAGCAAGGTAATCCAGCCTCAGAACCCAAGTGCCACTCCCCTCGGTTTATTTTGTCTATGACTCTATGTCTTTAATTTTTCCTTACAGAAAGTCTGGAAAAGAAAATACAATGGCAGAATTAATGGAGGAAATGAATAAGTGGCGTCTCCTTTATGAAGAACTGTATAATAAAACCAAGCCTTTTCAGGTTTGTCAATTAGGACTGAACTGGTGTTTGTTTTAACAATTCTCTCTGTCCCCTGCTGCAGTCACAACAGTGACTTGGATTTTCTGAAAAATCATATTGCTGTGCGTTTAGTGGCAACCTAACTTCCTGTTAAAGAAGGCTTATAAACTTTGTTAAATTATTAGGCATACATTTTTGTTTTTGTTTTTGTTTTTTTTTAGGCATACGTTTTTTAATATAGCCTTTGTAAGCTAAAAAAAATACCTCCTAGTAAAAACTTGAAGTTAACAGTTTACAAGGCTCTTTTGATCATTAATGTATGTAAATTTGTGATAATTATTGAATGTGATCTTTCTCAGTATATCTCAAGTTAATACACTGATCTGTAAAAAGAAAAAGGATAAATGCTAATCTTAGCACTTAAACAGATGATATGTGCTGGTTATAATGTGATTCAGTTGATGCAAATTAGGCTGGCTAGCTGAACTTGTTTCTTTTCTTGTTTTATGATCTTTGAAATCACTAAGTTTTTAAAGAAGAATCTCAGAGAATTTATGGAGAGCCCTGAGAATATGTCAACAAAATCTGTTTTATTCATTTTTTAAATTTTCTTTAACCTTTGTTTTCTATGTAGTTGATGTAGACAAGTACAATTTAACGGTTTTGACTTTATATAAAAAACTATTTTTCAGCAACAACTGGATGCATTTGAAGCAGAGAAACAGGCCTTGTTGAATGAACATGGTGCAGCTCAGGAACAGCTAAATAAACTCAGAGATTCGTATGCTAAATTGTTGGGTCATCAGAATCTAAAGCAAAAAATCAAGCATGTTGTGAAATTGAAAGATGAAAATAGCCAACTCAAATCGGTTTGTAAAATAACAGTCCTGTTGAATATGGTTTTTAAAATTCTATTTATAACATTTACGTAAAATGAAGGACTTTGGTGTCAGAAAAAAGTGATTATTTATAGAGGAAAATCCACCTGAGAATTAAGGATTTGTTTTAGAATGTTGACCAGATAGATACTAATGTTCTCACGTTTTCTAACTACTATTAGTATACTATTAATATACTGTTAGTATATTGAAAATTACTAGGATGATTGGAAGACTTCATAAAGCTGTACACATCCATTTCTGTTTGTAAAGTAACAAACTCCTTGGTGCAAATTACTATACTGTAAAGATAAGCAGTATTCAAAAATAAGGATTTAAGTTTTTTAACAGCTTTATTGAAATATAATTCACACGCCACTGAAAATGTACAACTCGATGGGTTTTAGTATATTTATAAACAGGTGCAACCATCACCATAGTTGATGTTAGAACATTTTTGTCACCTTAGAATGAAACCCCTTACCCTTTGGCTATTATCTCCCTGTCTTCTCACCCATTTCTCGTACCAGTCACCTACTTTCTGCCTTTATAGATTTCCCTATTCTGGCCATTTTTTTCTTTTTGGAATCAAATAATATGGGGTCTGTTGTAACTGTCTTTTTCAGTCAGCTCAGTGTTTTTAAGGTTCACCTGTGTCATGGCGTGCATCAGTGTCTCATTTTTTCATAATACATTATTTTGTGGCTATGTCACATTTTATTTATTCATTTCTTAGTTGATGGACATTTGGGTTGTTTTCACCTTTGGGCTGTTATAAATAATGCTGCTATAAACATTCATGTCGGAGTTTTTGTGTGGACATTATGGTTTTGTTGCTCTTGGGTTATATCTCGAAGTGAAATTGCCGGGCCATACGGTAACTGTGTTTAATCATTTGAGGAACTGCGGGGCTGTTTTCCAAAGCAGTCACACCATTCCGCATTCCAGCAGCAATGTATGAGGGTTCCAATTTCTTTACATGAACACTTGTTATTACCTGACTTTGTGATTCCTGCCGTCCTAGTGCATGTAAAGTCATACTGCATTGCGGTTTTGACTTGCATCTCTCCAATGCAGCAGGTGGGTGAGGGCAAGATGAGAAACGCTGATGTCCTGATGGGGAGCTGGGGGAGAGGGAACCCTGGGCTTTCGGCGACAGCGGTCTGGCCTGGAGTTTTCACCTTCCTAAGCTGTGAGGAGGGAAGAGGGAGCAGGCGTATTCAAATGCCATATACCCTGGTCTTTTGACCACATTTTTGTAGATTTGCTTGAATAGGTGTTTCCTCCTTGGGTGTTTGTCTTAGGGCCATTTTTAGAGGCTTTAAATAGTTGCCTTTTTCTAAATTTTAGTTTCCCTAGGAAGCAGGTCAGTGGAACCCTTGTGCTTTCATGCTCGAAGTTGATCTGGGCATTTAAGTTAGAGATGAACTTTTATCAGAAACATGTCTTTGTACCTGTAGAGCAGCAAGGAGGTTGAAATGACTTGTTATCTCCTTTGTCACAATTTTTCCAGGTCATCTTGTAATTCATAGTCTTAAAGCCTCCATCTAGTAGTGATTTTTGCCATTTGGTTTGATACCGTAGTAACTTTGGAATTTGTCGGTAACATTGGTTATACTTTTCACCATCGTGATCTTAAGTAATTGTTTATTATCTATCTATATATATGTATAAAATATATATATATATATATTTTTTTTTTATGTAGGAGGTGTCAAAGCTCCGCTCTCAGCTTTCTAAAATAAAGCAAAATGAGAGAAGACTTCAGGAGGAATTGAATAAAGTTCTGGGTGTCAAACGCTTTGATCCTTCAAAGGCTTTTCTTCATGAAAGTAAAGAAAATTTTGTTCTCAAAACCCCATTAAAAGAAGGTAAGAAATGAATGTATAGAAGTGTCACTCTCCTTTGGGAGCATTTAGCAGATTATTCAGTTTTATGAACTGAAAGTTTGTTGATAGTTTCTGCCATGTAAGAAATTCCTTCTGAGATTTTTGTATACAATGCCTTTTCCTTCCTCTTCCTGTGCTCTCTATTTTCCATACGTCCAGACCCCACCTGTGCTCGAAACCTGTTTCAAACTCCACCTTTCTGGAAGCCTCAAATGACTTTTTTGCTCCTACCCACCCCACACAAGAACTATTCCCTCTAACATAGCCTTCGCATTTTAACCTAAATGTCTAATTTGTGGTTTTGGAGAAGTAGGTGTTGTCTCTGTTTTTCTTGATGGTGAATCTTTGTATCTTTGACAATAAATCACAAAATTGGTCAAAACAGAGAATGAAGAAATAGAAATAAAATTATGCTACAGAATGCAAACATTGCTTCATCTGCCTTACAGAAGATTCTAGATGCTTATTTTTAGATTATACTGACTGATGAATTAGTTTTGATTTAGAATGCTAACCGTTCCTTTTAATAATCCCTCCAGGCAATACAAACTGCTGTTGAGCTCCTATAGAGGTCCGAGAATCATTCAAGTGAACTTCTGAAAAACCAGTTGAAGATTATTTTACTCTTATTCTTTTCATTGTTATTGTTGCTGTTATTGTGTGTATAATGAATACTCTTAAATGTATTTAATATTAACTTCCTATTTTTAGGTATCTGAAAGCAAGTTCAACATTTTTACCAATATGTCTTCTGACATTTTATTTTCTATTGTGAGTACCTTCTCCCTGATGCTCATTTTCATCCCTTTGTTCTAAACCTTCTACTTTACTTTCCAGCTTTACAATTTGTCCCATCAATCGACATTCCTTTAAAAATAGCTATTACAGTATTATTCTCCTATTCTGAAACCTTTGATGGTTTCAAGATTCTGTCCCCAGGTTTTTAGTTTGATCCTGGACAGCTTTTCTGATCTGAACCTCTTAAGCCAGGACAAAACACCATGGCTTGTTCTTGCCTCTGCTTTGCTGCTTCTAGTAAGGTTCACTCTGTTTTACCCATCAACCATTTGTCCGGTTCGAGTAAGAAATGAGAGCTTGCTTAATTCCATGGTAGTCTCTTTATCTCTTATCGGAGTCACTGAGCTGGTCAATAATTTGCAGATTTGTAGACTCTTTCCCACTCCTACTAAATTAAAATCTGGTTTTTGACTTGAAAATCTGCATTTTAAACAAACTCTGCAGTTAATTCTTAGATACATCAAAAACCTGAGAACTCCTACTCTTAGCTAACTTTTTTTTTTTAAAGATTTTATTTATTTTTAGACAGAGGGAAAGGGAGAAAGAGAGGGAAAGAAACATCAATGTGTGGTTACCTCTCACACGTCCCTACTAGGGCCCTGCCCCACAACCCAGGCATGTACCCTGACTGGGAATTGAACCAGTGACCCTTTGGTTCTCAGGCCAGCGCTCAATCCACTGAGCCACACCAGCCAGGGCCTCTTAGTTAACTCTTTAGAGAATCTTTTTATACCACTTGGCATCAGCCTGACTACTGGGTATTTGATTAGTATTCGTATAATGTGAAATAAGAATCACACATTAAGTCATTAACCCAGTTATTCAACTTACATTATATGAAGTTACATGAATGCTTCTCTGTAAGGTATATTTATTGTCTGTCCCCTCTCCTCCCTTTCTTGTTACATGAATTACAGATGGCAGTAGACTCTTTAGAGAGTGGTAATTATCCATCTAAAATTTCTGATTTACAATTAGTATATTATAAAACATTTTAAAAAATATTTCTCCATTGATGTACCAACAAAGACTATTATAATCAAGAATAGTTTTTCATAATAAATTATTGTATTGGGTCTTAATACATAGTTGAATTTTTAAACATTATTTGAGTTAAGTTCAGAGGCAACATAGAAGTTAGGAAATCTGTGTAATAAAACCAAATAGTTCAAGACTTCTGCTTCTCTTCAAGATGGAGTAATGAGTATTGGATGTATTGATCCTCACCCTACCCTCCACAGACAAAAACACCCTTAAAACTATGAAAAACTAGACAAGATATACAAAATAATGACTTTCAAGGTGCTAGACATGAGACAACGAAAGATAGTTCCTGAGAGACTGGAAAAATCAAGGTGAACCCTACAATTGTCCCCTCTATTTACAGCCTTGAGAGACTTTTCAAATGATGAGGTGGGAGACCCCAAGCAGAGCCCACCCAACCACCTGAGTTAAAAGAGTTGACATCTGAGGAGACCAAAGTGGCTAGAGTTTGCAGGACAGAGTACTAGAAAGGACAGAATTGCAGAGAGAACTCTGGAGATGTAGGAAGTCTCCCTCAAGTGTTCGTTAGTCCTGTATATGAGAAAACTACCTAAGGCCTGGGACAGAACTACCCCCCAGGGTTAGAAGGAATAGAGCTCAAAGCTGATACAAGGGTAGATGTCCTGCCTGTTCCCGCCAGCCAAGCTGGAAGAACCAAATGAGTTATAAGGCATTGAGTAAGATGCACAGAAGAGTTTAGCCTCAGTATTGGGGAATACAGATATACCTCATTTTATTGCACTTTGCAGATTATGTATTTTTTATTTGTACAAATTGATGGTTTGCGGCAACCCTATGTCAAGCAAGTCTATTGGCACCAAAAGATTATGACTTGCTGAAAGCTCAGGCCAGGTGATGGTCAACATTTTTTAGCAATAAAGTATTTTTTAATTAAGGTATGTACATTTTTTCAGACAATTCTTTTGCATAATTAATAAACTACAGTATAGTGTAAACACATACACTGGAAAACCAGAAAAGGTTGTGTGACTTGCTTTATTGCAGTGGCCTGGAATGGAACCTACACTATCTCCGAGGTATGCTTGTAATTAGTCCTACAGTGAGTACTGCTCTGGTCCCATCTGACAAATCTTAAGAGGAGGACTCAAAAGGATCAAACTATTTCTAAGAAACTTTAGTATATTTAAAAGATCATTGTTCAAGCAAAAGTAAGGACATAGTTTGGCATTTATGCACATTTAAAGTTAGAGCATGCCCACCAGTGTGGCTGGGTTAGTTGGGCATCATCCCGCAAAGTGAAATGTCGCCTGTTCAATTCCTGATCAGGGCACGTACCTGGGTTGCAGGTTCAATCCCCAGTCGGGGCCTATGGAACTGACCAATGTTTCTTTCATCAATGCTTCTTGCCCTCTCTTTTCTCTCTCCCTTCCTCTGTCTTTAAAAATAAATAAATAAAATCTTTACCCCCCCCCCAAAAAAAATTAGATCATGACAGCAAGCTCAAAGCCAAGGAGGGGAGAAATTGAAGTATGTGATTGTAAGGTTCTTAAGTATATGTAAAGTCTATGTTACTTGAAGATAGATTGTGATAAGTTAATAATGTATACTGTAGAACCTAAAGCAGTCACTGACATAAAACACTTGTAGCCATAAGCCAACAAAGATAAAATAGAATTTTAAAAAATTTTAATTCAAAATAAGGCAGAAAAAGGGGTAAAGGAAAACAAAGGACAAATGGGAAAAGAAATCAAATTGCAATATGGTGAATTTAAACTTAACCATATCAGTAGTCAACATTAAATATAAAGAGTCTGTATACCCCAATTAAAATACAGAAGTATACAAATATAAATTAAAAAACAAAACTGACTATATGCTGCCTACAAAAATGTAGTTCAAGTATAAAGACAAAAATAAGTGAAAAGTAAAAATCTGTGAAAAGATACACCAAGCTTAGAGGTGAAATCAATAAGATGGTCAGGAAGCCCTCAACCCTCTTTCCCCCAAGGTTGCACTGATCCAACAGCAATACAGAAACTAGTTTAAAGAGCCAAGAACACATAGTGGGGAAAAGATAGTCTCTTCAACAAATAATATTGCTAAAACTGGGTGTCCAAATGCAAAAGAATGAAATTAGAACCCTATCTTAAACCACACACACACCCCAACTCAAAAAGTATTGGAGACTTAAATGTAAAACCACTAAAAGAAAATATAGGAGGAAAACTTCTTGGTAATGATTTCTTATTTGTGCCACAAAAAGAACAGTCAATAAAAGCAAAAATGGACAAGTTGGATTACATCCAACCAGGAAGTGGTTGGTTTTTTTTTAAATAATGAAACAGGGTGAAAAGCCAACCTACAAAAGTAAAGAAAATATTTGCCAACTATCAGATGAGTTAATTTCCAAAGTATATTAGGAAATCCTATAAATAGCAAAAAATCTAATAACCTGATTAAAAGTGGCCAAGAATTTGAATATGTAAATCTGTTCAGAAGAAAGTCCAGCCATTCATTGATAGTATAACAAGAACAGTTTGAGCTACATCGATGAAACCTGGCAACCAAGGAGAGTGTGAACAATTACAACTTCACTGTACTAATCAATGGGGGTAGTAGATGCCCTTGAGTGAGCATGTGTACTGTGTGGCTGTCCCATTCAAATTTAAATGGGGACCTCAAGAAATATCTACGCTCCCATATTCATTGCAGCTTACTCACAATAGCTAAGATGTGGGGACAGCCTAAATGTCCATGATGGGTCAAAGGACCAAATACACTGTGGTGCTTCCAGACAATGGAATGTTATTCAGTACTAAAAAGAATGAGCTGTCAAGCCATAAAAAGACAAGGAGGAGAAACTTTAAATGCATATTAGTAAGTGAAATAAGCCAGTCGGAAAAGGTTACATATGGTATGATTCCAACTATATGACATTCTGGAAAAGGCAAAACTATGACAACAGTAAAGAGATCAGTAGTTGCCAGAATTTGAGGGCTGGGGTGGGAAGAATGGGAGGAACGGGGAATTTTTAGGGCAGTACAAATACCCTGTACTGTACCACAATGATGGATACATATCATTATATATTTGTCTAAGCCCATAGAATGTGAACTGGGGCCTGGGTGATAGTCTAAGCGTGTTTATAAATGATAACATGTACCACTTTGGAGGGGGGATGTCAGTAACGGGAGGGTGTGCGTATGAGAGGGCAGGGCCACCTGTATTTTTCACCTCAATTTTTCTGTGAACCTAAAACTTCTAAAAAAGTAAACGTTTAATTTTAAAAAGTAGGGCTGATTTAGACGACAAAAAATGAAATTTGGGTAGAAAGTATAGGGTATTTCATATAACCTTGAAACTTTTTATAATAAAAGGTTTTTAAATTCCCCTACAGTAGCTGAAAAGTTGCACAAATGTGTGTGTATGTGTGTGTGTATAAATATAATTTTAGTCCAGGCCTCTCAAAGTTCGGACTTAGGTGTCCCTTCTTCTGATGGCATTACCACATCCTTAACTGAAAATTGAAACAGTTGAACAGGGACTTCCTCTTGTTTCCTCTGTAAAATGTGCCATGAGGAATACACATGTACTCATATCCTCTGCCTTTCCTTCTTGTAGTACCTCATATTATTGTTCAAAATATAGTAATTCCAAGGGAAGACCTATACTTTTCCACTCCATTGATGTCAGGAGAATTTTACATCCCTGTCCTGGTTCCTTATATAGCGTGACAGCTCTTCATGTCTCATGCATGACATGTATTTTCTCCCAGTTTTTTTGTTTGTTTGCTTGTTTGCTTGTTTTTTAGAGAGAGAGAGAGAGAAACATCAATGTGAGAAACATAGATCAGTTGCCTCTTGTACGGCCCCCGACAGGGGAACCTGTGACCAAACCTGTAACCCAGGCATGTGCCCTGACCGGGAATCCAACTGGCGGCCTTTTGCTTTGTGGGCAGACCCCCAACCAATTGAGGCACACCAGCCAGGGCTCCCAGTTTATCTTTTGACTGTGCTAATTATCATTGCTGTGGTTATGCAGATATTTACAAAAATCTGTGTAGTCTACTTTGTTGGTATTTTCACTTTTAGTTTCTGAATTTCTTGATATGCTTATACGAGGTGACGAGAGGAATTCTGGGCTACCTTAAATTACAGCAGATCTGAGCACACGAGCAAGTGCAAGGGATGTTAGTTAATAGCTGCGGGCCAGAGCCCACGAAAGACTGCTCACATTCTTGAATATGCAATATGTGGGACTTTGAATGAAGCAGCCATTTCAGCTCTTTTCTAAAAAGAACAGTGAACCACCAGGCCCTGGGGCCCCTTGGTTAGGGATGCACTTTCCAGACTGCGGCCTGCAACCAGCCCAGAGGCACCAAGTTCTTCCTTATGCACTGTCCACCTACCCCAGAACTTTCTCCTCTTCCCCTTTTCCTGCCCTCCCTTTTGTCTATAGCCAATGTAAATTATTTCAAAACAACTTAAGTCTGTCTTCCCTAAACTCATTATACAGAAGAGCCCTGCCAAACCCAGGACGGGGGGCACGTTTGTCTTCTCCGCCCAGCCCTGGTGGTTTAGATCACATGGATGCCCCCAGGACCTGGTCCTGTTTCTGGGTAGCACGTAGCTCAATAGACCCTTTCCTTTAGGACAACTTTCAGCTTGAAGAATTTTGTTTAATGAAGGCTTCCTCACTCCAAAGATTATTTGACCCATATTCCTCTAGTCCTTTAGTTCCACATTTTAGTTTAAACATTTGAAATCTGTCAAGAACTTATTTTTGTGTAAGTAAATTAGGAATGTGTAAGGGAACTCATTTTAGAGATGCAATATGGCTCCAGCAGCCAAGGCATCTGGGAGATGTTTAACTGTGACTGTTGAACTCGGCGACTAACTCACCGTGTAGCCTCATGCATGGCTGACGGCCAGGAAAACTAAAATTCCACCCAAAGTCCATCTTCATGTCCCCAGGAAGGAGGTTAATGAATGTATAGAGCACAATAACAGCCTGATGTTATCTTTTAACTTAGTATTACGTTGTTTTCTTGGGAGGCCTACACTAGTACCCGCCATCTGGTTTTGCGATTAACCGTTGCTACTAGCCCCCTTTACAAGGGGACCGGGTCCTGGGAGGAGTGTGGATTCTTCCCAGCCCCACAACTACTGGAAACGGCTGCTTTGCCTGTGTGTGTAAGTTGCTCCTATTAAGGCTGTAAGGAATTTGAATAAGGCTACCTGTCTGTTCTTCAGAATCTATCCTGAATTTAGACTTTCGGGGCTTTCCCTCAACAGGAATCCAACCTTGTTCCTCTTAATGACTTCTTTTTATTTATTATCTTTATCCCCTAATAAATTCCCATATGCATATTTGAGTCTAGCCAAGATAATTAGTATAATAGTTTTCTTCGCACAAACCTGGGAGTTTAAGAGGAAGATTGGATTTGGAGAACAAGGTAACAAATTAATATTAATTTACTTCTAGTTTCTTGGGCCTGTGAGTCTGATATGCCAGAGAAACATATGGGTAAAAATCCCTCTAAGGCACCTGGAATGGAGGTCAAAGCCGTTCATGTGGGTGTCGCAGTCATAGAAACGGCAAAAGCTGGGATGGTTGAAGCAGATGCAAGTTTACAAAGAGACGGGAGGCTGTAAAAAAGAAGCAGCAAAACCCTTTGTTCTTGCCCTTGGGGCGTCATAATACCTTAGATATCTATTTCTCAAACTCGAAAAATGTATGCGTATCCTATGAAGGAAAAAGGTTTTGATTTCTTGGATCCTAATGAGTTCGGAAATTGAAATACTCTCCATTTAGTTCATCACTCCGTACCAATGCAATGCATAACACTACCTCAGCCTAGTATCTTGCTACCCAAATGATCCAAAACATGACTGTATTACTGCTTTAAAACTGATCTATAAATTACATACAGTAACAGACAATGAAATGAAGAGATCTCAATTGTGTTAGTTTGAGAATTTTCGATAAACATAGTTAACCATGTTTCCCGCACACCTATCAAAATGTAACATTTCCATTACCTCAGGAAGTTCATTTATGGCCAATCCCTACCCTTCCTCCAAGGAAAGATAATTTCTTTCACTATGGATTAGTTTCACCTACTTGAGAATTTCACATAAAAGGAATCATACTCTTGTGTGTCCGGCTGCTCTCACTCAGCATGATGATCTTGAGATTAATTCATATAGTTCATTTCTTTGCATTGCTGAGCAATATTCCACAGTATGGCTATACCACAATTTATCTATGCATTTATCTGCTGAGGGATGTTTGGGTTGTTTCCAGTTCTGGGTTGTTTGAATTCAGCTACTATAAATATTCCTGTGCAAGTCTTTAGGGATATATGCTTTTATTCTTCTTGGGAAAGGGCCTGGAAATGAACTTACTGGGTCATGAGGTAGGCATACATTTAACTTTATAATAAACTGCCAATCAGTTTTCTAAAGTGGTTGTATTATTTTATGCTCCCAATAGCAATGAATGAGCATTCCAGTTGCTCAAATTGCTTGTTGGTGTATGATGTCATACGTCTTTTTAAATTTAGCCATTCTGTTAGCCATTCAGTGGTATCTCAGTGTTATTGTGACTTACATTTCCCTGATGTTGAGCATCTTTCTGTTACTGAACTCAAGGAGTTTGCTACTTGGAATGTTCTATTTAAGACCAAGATGTGGTTGCTAGGTAGTTTTATTTACTTGCAGCAGGTAGAGAGAGGGGATTCACATCAAAAGCTCTGTCTCCCCAAAAGGAGGCTTAGCCATTGTTTATATTTACTATTTGGTTAATTACATGTTGACTTGTTTGGAGTTGGCAAAACCTATCAGGTTTGGTTCTAATCCAACTCATCTGGTTATAGTGAGTCTGCAAAATGTTATGCTGCATTTTAACATTCGGCAAGAATAGCATTTTGTAAGAACTACCCAGACCTTAGGACCCTTCTGCCATGAAACATTTTTATGTGATTATTATTAGCCATTTTTCCAGTCTGTGCTTTTCTTATTCATTTTTAAAAAATATTATTTTTTGATGAACAGAAATTTTAAATTTTGTTGAATTTTAATTTATCAATTGTTAAAAATTGTTTAAAAATTTTTAAGTTCATTACTCACAGACTCTCTGCATGCCACATAAAGTTTACCATGGGCTATGCACTCTAAGTGGGTAGCATATAAAAAGTCAAGTGATCTTTTTAGGTCTATTTGTATGGCAGTTTTGTTGTTAAGTTGTTTTTGAGCCATAATCCAGAGCGGTGGTTCAAGATATTGCGCACATTTATCATGCTTGAAATAAAAAAATAAACTCACTGGGCTCCACTCCTTCAGAATGATTGTCTCATTTGTTCTCTGGTGCTGGCAGGTTTAGGAATTTAATTGCTGACCCAGAAGTCCTTAATTCTTGGCCAAATTTAAGGCTCACCCCACATACCATTTTCTGGAACAGAGGGCAGGACAATGTTAATGGAAATGACCTGCTGCATTTTAATTTCTGCTTGCTGTTACCACGTGCCTTTTACTGACCTTCGGAATAGTTAATTTAAAAGCACTGGGGAAAAGCACTGGAAAACTTTACTAAATAGATTCTGTCTTAATGAGGCATAACTGAATAAGATATTTCAGAACGGGAATCAGTTGATTGGTGTGCGTGCTTTCCAAAAGCTGGCTCTTGCTTGTTCTGCAAGAGAAAATCGCAACAAGTCCTCACAGAAAGGCTTTGTTGCTGTTTTCTTTTAAAAATAAGTTGGTTCTGCCAATGGTTTTCCTAATGCACCCTCATTAGTCTGGCAATTAAACAGGAAACTTCTCATTGGGTATTTTCAAGACTGCCACGGGGAATCAGCTGCCAGTTTACTGCAACGTTGAAAGCTGCACGAGATTCTGGGATTGGCATCAAAATGCTAATTTAAAAGGTCGAGCGAAGCTGAGAGGCTCACGTTTTCCCTGCCTCTGCTCTCTGCCAGAAGAACAAAGACGCAGCCAGAGAGAGCAGAGGCTGAAACTCATCCCAAATCTGTTTTCCTGAGATCATTTTGGAACCATGCCTGAAATGCCGGAGAACATGGAGCAGGTAAGAGCTAGCGCTCAGGAAACGAAGCATTTTGGAGTTAAGAGTTTCTTTAAATCATCCTGGTGAACGTCTGCCAAAAGCGAAAATGAATGTGTGTCATTCATTTCTTTAAAACATGTAACTTTGGGACATGGAAGAATAAACCAACTTTAATTATTGACCCTCTATGGAGACCTCAGTTAAGTCGTATTAGTTGACAAAAATAAAATGTAGAACAGAACAGCGGTTTCATTTTCTAGATTAAATGCAATGATGTAGGTGCAGATTCTGTATGAATGGGGATTTTATCTATAGTGTGCTCCAGCCTTTCTTTGTCTTGGCGTGAACCGAATCTGCTAACATAAACTTTTAGCTCCAGGTTGCTCTCTTTAAATCGATGGACTTAGCCACAGCGCGAATATGGATAGTGCCTATATAATGATGTTGTCTTTATTCACATAGAAACTTGTATCTTTAAAGAGAATGATTAAAAACCATGCACACACATATGCTTCTAGAACTATATACCACGTTTTACCTGTAAGTATCAAACCAGATTCTCAAATACAGTAAACTTCAGTTCCTCACTCTATAGACGAGGCTTCCCTGAGAGTCCAAAGGCTAGTTACCTGTGCTTGTCCTTAAATCTTCTTTACATTGAATACTTTTTTTTCATAGATTAGATTGCATCACGTTGCAACAAGAGACTTTTAAAAATCCAGTTTTTAAAGAGCGAAGAGGATCTCGAAGCTTCTCCCCCACCCCCATCCCCTTTTCTTTGTTGTCCGAAGACCTGGCATTTGCAGGGCTAGGGCAGTGCTCTCTCAAGGACGTGCTCAGTAATGCCCAACCGCTGAACAGCCGGTTTAAACATTCGATTGAAACAGAAATCGGGAAGTGAGGGCCTCGGGCTCTCTCCCATTGCTGGTTCGAAAATACAGCGTTTCCACAAATAAGGAATGAGTTCTTGTTGGGGTTGGGCAGGAAGGAAAGTCACGGGACTTTTGAAAAAGGCTGCTTAGGCTCGAAACCTAAAAGGATTTTGAAAATAAGGTCTTTTTAGAAAGATCCAAGCAGCAGCAGTCACTCTTGTAAGCGACTCTTAGGTTTTGGTATTCCGGGTGTCTGGACAGGTACACTCAGGCTGTCCCATGAGACGCTAGCGGGCCCTACAGGGCCTGTTCTGTTTTTTAGTTTTGTTTATAATTTCACAGGAAAAAGCGTGATGCAGGTGGTTCAGCATTACTTTTCTTCCTTGGTTCCTTCTTCAACTTTAAAACCTACTTTTTAGCATTCCAGAAAGACAAATAGGCTCTTGAGGTGGTAATGACACAGATGCCAACACTTTTATTTTTCTTCTTTGTCTTTTCCTAAAGCTCTCAAAATGCACTCCTAATGCTCTAGAGATAACATGTCTATGGGGCTTCCCTCTCCCTGGCCTCACCGCCCCTGATCCGTAACTTTAAAATGTTTCATCCTACTTTATATATTACATGCCTAGTTAATTTTTTCAATTTCCAGGCAATCCAATCCAATCCCTAGTCAAGGGGGGTGGGGGAGAAAGAAAAGTCCAAAAAATAAACTACCCCACTCCCGCAAACCGAGCTTGTTCACCATTTAAGGCCAAGGCCTTTGTTGTGTGTATCCCTTTAAGAGTTAGCGCGTGGGCTGAGAGCTCCCCCAGCGTGCCCGCCCCTTTGTGAGGCAACAGGCAGCTGCCCCAATCAATGGGCGCGGCCTTGGCGGCGGAAGCCGGAAGTGGTGAGCGGGGCTGCCCGGACTCAGGGCAGGCGGGTCGAGGGCGTTGGAGCTGCGGCTCGCCGAGATCCTGAGGTGGAGGAAGTGGCGGGTCACTGCTGCAGAGAAGCGAGGACAGCCGACATGGTGGGGCGGGAGAAGGAGCTCTCCATCCACTTTGTTCCGGGGAACTGCCGTCTGGTGGAGGTGAAGGAGTCGTCGCGGGGTCTCGTGGGAATCGGGGTGCAGAGGAGTGGTTTTCTGGGCACATCCCTCCCGAGTCGAAGCCCGGTCGGCTCCCTCAGCGCCACCTTCTGAGCCCTAGGCGTCCTAGGAGTCCAAGGCGGCGCCATCGAGTTTGTTTACCTCGGCGCACACCCCTTAGTGTTTTCCATCCTCCGCTGCAGGAAATGAGTACCTCGGGTTCACTTTTGAGGGGCCCCTCCCGGAGTGAAGAGGGGTTTTCGAAGCTGTTTGGTTTTGAGTCTCTTAATTTCTTGCGCATCCATTGTTCCTCTCCCACGGCCTTACCCATTTGTGTATATCTTAGGAAGAAGGGGGAAAGGTGGCTTTTTAGAAATATCAGTCTTGGAGATTATTGAAATCTTAGTTTTTGCAAGACACGACGTTATGCCTTGTAATCTCCGTGACTAGGAGGTTGTTTTTGCCCCATTTGACAGATGAGACAATGGAGGGTTAGAGGGCCTGTCCTTCGTCCAAGTTCATTAAGTGCGTTTCGAGCCGGGATTCAAATACGGGGCTGTGGGCCGTGGGTCTGGGGCTGTGAACCGCGGAGGAGGTTGCAGAAGGGAAGGTGTTTTCTGTGTTTGGGTCTGCCGCCCCCGCCCACCTTCCTTTCTTCGCGGCTTCCCAGCGTTCGTCAGCCCGCAGACCGCCTCTAGCCGGGGGGTGTAAGTTCAGTGTCTTAGGGATGCGAGAGAGGATGTAGGGGATGGCAGTACTCGATAGTGCAACATTTTGATGCTTCTGAAATGCAGCATATTTAGTGCTTTCACATTATTTTGGGATTTGGGGGAGCGGGCAAAGTTAGGGTAGATGGCTTATTTAAACCTCTGTGTTGCGCCTGTGCACCCCAAACAGCCCGGAGAACACGTTACCTATTGTTCGTTCACGTTTATGTATATCCGTATGTATGCGTGTGTATAAAACTTTTTTCACAAAAAAGACGAGTGAAAATGGGTTTTCCTTCCCTAAACATGGTCCAACCAAAAGCTTGGGACATCCCTGCTGCTCCGAAACCCCGTAAAATGAAAACTGGCCCAGGAGAAGGAGCACTGTCCCCGAGTTTGCGGTAGAGCGGCGCACCCGGGGCTTGGGGTACTGCTGGCTGGGGCTGCCGCAGGGGGACAGGGGTTAGACCAGTGCCCCCTGAGTAGTCGGGGCATCTTTAAAAAGTTTTCCTAAAGCTCAGGACGGTCTCTTCAAAGGCCTCCCTCGAGGGGAAGTCTTGTGAGGATCAATTAAAGACATGAATATGAAACTTAGTAAGTTTTAAGATGTTCTAAAAATTGCGAAGTATTATATTTACCACCAAAGTTGGAGAAGATCCCTCTTTAGGTATTAGTGTGTTTAGGTATTTCTGCACTACTTCTTCTAGGACATTTTTAATGCAGGTGTGCTAAGTTAGAAACCACTGTCACAGAGTGTTATTTTGGGTCACTCTGGAAGAGCTATTTATCTGGTGGTACTGTCTGGTGAGAGAGCATAATCAAAGTGGTAGTTCTGCATTTATTTATACATGTTTAATTTTTCAAGAATTTTTCTTTGTGTCTGGAAATCTGGTCATCTGGTACTGAGCTCTCTCCATCTAAGAGTTGATTCAATAAGGGAAATAAGTTCAGAGTAAACTTAAAATGATGGTTGATATAATTGACTCATAAAGTACTAAAAGTTGAGAGAGCAGACTTTCCAGGCTCACAAAATATTTTCAACTCTTGATCATGGTTTCGATGAACTAGTCAGCATTTTTTCCTTCCGTTCTGAGTTCTTCAGGGTGTTTGGACATTCTTGCATTTTGCAGGAGTAAGTTTACAGAGTAACGGTCCAAAGTAATTTTCAGAGGAATATGTCTTTTAAAAAGAAAAAAAATCAAAATAGTGTGCTTTTAAAAGCTTTAGGTAGAGTTCTGTTTATATATAGAAACTCAAAAATAGAAGAGTTATTTTGGGTTGGCATCTTTTTAGAGTGATGCATATTTTATTTGCCAACCACAAAATAAATTTATAATCCAAGTGGAAAATTTTTGTTTTCGCCCTTATACTGGTGACAGAGGGTGCTCATTGTGTCTCTAGAGAGACTCCGTGAAAAGAGTAAAAGTTACTTATATCCCTAATATTGAAAATATTCGAATTGTAGGAATGTAAGGCTGGAAGAACTTCTGTCACCTTATCCTAATGTCTCATGTTACCAATGAGGAATCAGATCAGTAGAGATGGACTAACTTCTCAATGGCACAGTTTTTGGCAGAGCAGATAAGATTCAATCATCATGACACCAAATACAGGTTCAAAGGATTGAAGCAAAACTCAGAATGTGTGTTGGCTGGACCTTGGAAGCAAGACGACCCAAATTCTGGTCTTAATCTTTTCCCTTTTATTGTGGGCAAAACCTTTCACATCTCTAGACTTCAGGTTCCTCACTTTGTAGAGGTATTTTCTTGCCAAAATTTAAAGAAAATATTTTGTTGGCTGAAATCCATGTTTTCATAGATCAGTTGGCTTCGAGCTAAGTTTCGCAACAGAAAGCCTAGATTAATTTTCATTCCACTTGTAAAACGTCTTGACATGGGTAGACCTAAGGAAAAAAAAAATCTTTAAGAATTTGCCTTTATACTGTCTCTGTCAGCTCTTCTGTTTCAAGTTTTTCCTCTGATAGAAATACTTGATTTTGGTGGCCTTTTTTTTAAAAAAATGTATAGTCTGCTAAGTTATTCAGCTGAACTAAGGGTTAAGCAAAAGTCTGTGTGCATATTTTAAAAAGTCTTTGTGTGCACAGTTTTAACAGCTCTGCTTTAAGTAAGCACTTAATTTACCTAAGTAACCACCACTTTGAAATAAAAGCTTCAAGATGGTAAAACTTAATAAAATTTCTTTTTTTTTAAATAATAAATGTTGACTGGATAAGTGAAGATTTTTGAAGGAAAACCTGTCTTGGTTTTAATATCCTAAATAGCGGTTTCTTTTTAATTTTAATATGTAACGAATTTTTTTTCCCCACAAACACAACAAATCAGTTTAGAATATTTTCGTTGTTTTTTCTTTCTTATCCTCTGTATCTGTATTTATTAGTTTAGCTGGCCTGTGTAAATTTAAAGTTTTAATTCAGAAACATTTATCAGTTTGGTTAAACTTAGAAAGAATATTAGTGCCATAAGAGTCAAATTCATTTTTCCTTCATATAAATTCCTGTGAAATGTGAATTTTCTTCACTTTGACCTATGAAAATATAAATCAGTGAGTTTTGAAAAAAACCTTGGGATTAAAAACTGGAAACCAGAAATGTCAATTTGTAAACATATTGGTGGAATATAGTCCAGATATTTAATCAGGCCATAAAATAAGCATAAACTTAACTGGAGTTTATAAACTGAAGAACATAATTAAAGTAGCTGTTTTTTACTCATTTGGACATGATCATAAACATAGGAAATCAGTCTTTTTGACTTGCTAATTCCTTGTAGTACCATCTTAGGGTCGTTTTTTTTTGTTTGTTTGTTTGTTTGGTTTTTTTGCCTAGGGTAAGTTTATTAAAACTTTTCTTAAGTGACATAGTTATCAATGCAGTTTGATCTTTGTTTTAACTTAAGAATTGGTAAATAGATATGGGACATGAATAAAACTACTTAGACTTGAAGTATTTAGTGAATGATGATGTTTACTAATTTTGTTGAGAGAATATTTTCAAACTAAATAATTCTTTTTCTTCCCCCTTCACCCTTTTAGGAGGAAGTTAACATCCCCAATAGACGGGTTCTGATTACTGGTGCCACTGGGCTTCTTGGCAGAGCTGTGTACAAAGAATTTCAGCAGAACAACTGGCATGCCGTTGGCTGTGGTTTTAGAAGAGCAAGACCAAAATTTGAACATGTTAATCTTTTGGATTCTAATGCAGTTCATCAAATCATTTATGATTTTCAGGTATGGTGTAGTCTGCTTATTTTAACATGTAAACCGTATTAAGAATCGTCTGGATGATACAGAAAATGTTCTTGCTCTCAAGGAAGTTACTGCACTTAGGGTCTAACCTATTAAGCAACAAGATGGAGTACACTTTTTTTTTCCCTTCAGTATTGCAGAGTATATGCAATCCTTAAAACGATTAGGTTCAGACATAGTTAACAAAAGACAGTATAAAGCATTTTATAAAATGCTTGTGTTTCTCAAGTACTCGTCTAAATACCACTCTCTCTGCAGCTATTTTAAAAATATTATCTATAAACCTTACAAAACTGCAAAATAGACTTTTCTAAGGTAAACGCACCGCAGAATAAAGTTTTTCCATTTTAGAGATGACAAAGGCTCAGAGAGGCTAAATAACTTATGGCCACGGTCATAGTAAAGTTACAGAGAAATTTAGGTTCTGTTCAACTCTAATCAAATGGAGAGTTTAATTTTTCTAAAAAGAGGGACCAAGTGACACCAGCATCAAAATCCTTTGGGGAACTTGTTCCTAGGCCTCTCTCCCAGAGACTTTAACTGAGTGAGTCAGGTCTGGGACGGAGGACTTGACATTTTAGAAAGCACCCCAGATTGTGCACATTCAAGTGTGACAACAGTTCCGATCGAGCTTCCTCAAACAGCTGCGGAGGAGGAGGAGATTGGTGATGCAGGGAGGTCAGCCCTGCCCGCTCGGGGTTGTCCCAGATCTTAGCGCTGGCTCAGCTCCTCGGGGAGGCAGGTGCCTCTCCTCTGCAAAGGACCCTCTCCTCTCCTCTATCTTGACGTCTGTCACCTGATACTGAAACAGTTCCTCCACATACCTGTCTTTTCCACTAAGTGAAATCTTTGCCTCTTGCACACTGCTCAGCTTATAGGTGGTATATTGCATGCTCAACTGGGAATGTAATTTTTATAATAGTTGATTTTCTTTAAGTGAATCGTCTAAGATATTTTAATTTATGAATTTGATTTGCAGTCTGTTCCTCTCCCTTTAATATGGAATTATTAAAATGTAGGTCATATTAATCACACAAAGGATAGCTCTTTTTTCCCCCATGAAGCTTATTTTTTATTTTTATTTTTTAGAAATATAGTTGTTGACACAGGTTTGTCTGGTTTTGCCTAGGGATTCCTAAATTGGTCTTTCCTTTTCAGAGCCAACATATATTTAAGGAAGTTCGAATCTACAAAAAGGGAAGCGTGACAAAATATAGTGATTGTTTAGTTGAATGGATGTTGACCTAACAACTTTTCTATGAATTAATTTGCTGTTGGAAGGCTTTAGTTCCTCTGCTGTATTCTTTTTTTGTGTGTTAAAAGTCAATGCTTAACTTCCAGCCCCATGTGATAGTACATTGTGCAGCAGAGAGAAGACCAGATGTTGTAGAAAATCAGCCAGATGCTGCTGCTCAACTTAATGTGGATGCTTCTGGGAATTTAGCAAAGGAAGCAGGTAATGACAAATTCATTAAATCTTCATAAAATATTAAATGATTGCTGAGTTTGTAAGGATTAAAGTTTTGCAGATTGCTTATGAGAGATTTATTTCAAAAATGATGCATAAGCTGTTACAAATTCCAATAATGAGTAAATATCATTAATTTAATAGATTGTTGTTTTTGTTTTTATAGCTGCAATTGGAGCATTTCTAATCTATATTAGCTCAGATTATGTATTTGATGGAACAAATCCTCCATATAGAGAGGAAGACATACCATGTCCCCTAAATCTGTATGGCAAAACAAAATTAGAAGGAGAAAAGGCTGTCCTGGAGAACAATTTAGGTAAGACAACAATCTTTCGCTTTGAGGATTCCTGTTTATTTATGGTGTGTGTGTGCATGTGTACCTTATTTAATTAAAAAAGTTAAAGAACAAATCATTAGAGAAAAATTATAAAAAGTAATAAAAAAGAAAAATTAGAATTTTGGAAGTCTTGAAGAATTTGTGAATCTTTCCAGATAGTTTCTAGTATCATTGCATACGTAAATATCATTATTTATAGAAAATAAATTATACAGTACATATGTATGTAATCTAATTTCAAAAAACGGCACTCATTTCTCTTAGATTAGGGTACGCTGTTATTTGTGTGGTTTTTCTTCTGTGTGTGTTTGTATATACATGTATATATGCACATATGTGCTAATTATTAAAGGTCCATATATAACCTCCTGGAAAAAAATTTTTTTAACTTTAAAATTTGTATAGTGAAAGTTCTATTACAATGCTACCTCAGAGAGAAGCACCAAATGTGATTATGTTTGAAAGCACTTTTTGTGAATGTTTTTAAAATATTTGCATATTGTTTTGTAATCTGCATCCCCCACCCTTCCCTCCCCCAACATACTTACAATTCAGTACAAATGGAGACATCACTCAGATATCATTTTCATATCACTGGCTGCATGGTACTTGATTCATTGATCCCCTGCACTAAAACTATTGCCTTAGACTGTACTATGTCTTTGGGAAACATCCCCCAGTATAAGTACTGCACTAATAGATGTTTCATTTTTCAGGGGGTTTTTTTTGTATTGTAAATTATCTTGAAGAAATTATCCTTGAATATATATATCTCTATATGGTTGTCCAATAAGTTAATTTAAGTAAAGTGTTTGATTTTCAATAAAAGTGTCAATTATCTAGTCTGTTGTAACCCCTCATTAGGAACCAATGTAAAATCTAAATAGCTCATAATTCTTTAATCAGTGGTTTCAAGAATTATGTGGTGAATATTCATATGCCCTTTATGTAGTTTCACCAATTGTTAACGTTTTGCCACATGTATTTTGTACATAGTTTTTTTCTGTACTCATTAAGAATAAGTTGAATTTTACCCCCAAATAATTTACTGTGTATCTTCTAACAAAGATGCTCTTTACATAATTACAGTGCAGTTACCACACTCAGGAAATTTGACATTAGTGTAATTTACACTCTGTGTAGGAATTTTCCCAATTGTCCCAATAATGTCCTTTATTGCATTTTATTTTTTTAATCTAGGATCCAATCAAGGATCACTCATTGCATTTAGTTTTCATGATCAGTTTTATTTTTAATGATCATAATAATGAAGAACTTATATATAAAAATAACCAAATGAGAGAACATTTAAAAACATTCAGGATCACATTTGTTAAATGGGCAGCATTACAGGTGAGTTCTGTCATTTTGGTCTGTTGCAAGTTTTTTACAATATTGTTTCAATCCATGTACTTTCATCTTACATCAATATCTAAGAACCAGTCTGCTTTCAGACATTACCTGATTTTCTTCATCTGTAGGAGCTGCTGTTCTGAGAATTCCTGTTCTGTATGGAGAAGTTGAAAAGCTTGAAGAAAGTGCTGTGACTGTTATGTTTGATAAAGTGCAGTTCAGCAACAAGTCAGCGAACATGGACCACTGGCAGCAGAGGTTCCCCACGCATGTCAAAGACGTAGCCACCGTGTGCCGTCAGTTAGCAGAGAAGAGAATGCTGGTGAGAATCTTGGGACGGAAGATTGTCTAACTTCCGTCTGAGTAAAAATCCTGATAATGAGTGAAAGTTAAAGAGCTTTGTTCTTATTTTTCAAATTATTTTATTATTTTCAATTAACCGTTGACATTTTAGTATTATTTTTGTGTTAGTTTCATGTGTGCAACATAGTGGTTAGAAAATCGTATACTTTACAAAATGTTCCCCCTGATATTTCCAGTACCCAGCTGGCACCAAACGTAGTTATTACAATATTTAACCATATTTCTTAAGCTGTACTTTATAAAGTACTTTTTTAAAACTGCAAGGAGACCAAGCAAAAATAGTTAACAGATAGTAGGCTGTATTTCTAAATAATAAAAATATCGTGCCCTTGTGTTTCTCAAATATTACAGACCACATCTGTCATTCTTTTACTGGAAACTTGTATTTTTCAAGCAGTCTCCTGGTGTCTTCTTTTTTTAAAACTTCACCTGAAGATACATTTATTGATTTTAGAGAGAAAGTAAGGGAAAGAGGGAGTGAAACATCAATGTGAGAAACATTAATGGGGTGCCTCCATATGAGCACTGAACTCGCAGCCTAGGTATGTGCCCCGACAGGGAATGGAACCCACAAACGTGTACAGGACGGCACTCCACCCAGCAGAGCCACCCACTCAGGGTTCTCCTAATGTCTTTTAAGCAGTTACCGTACTTTGCTTAAGATCTGTGTAATATCAAAGAAGAATCTACATAGGAATTTATAATTTCAGCCATTTAAAAAAATAATTTGTATGTTTTTTTAGATATTTGAATAGTTGATTTTAAACATTTGAGAATGTCGGAGCTAAATAGAATATCCATAAAAAGATTAGGCTGATTTATTTTAGAACATACTAATAGTATAAGTATAGTTTTTTAATACATAAGATTTATATATCTCTTAAATATGTATTGTGACAATATTTAAGGATGTTACGACCAATTAGCTCATCTTGAAAAATGGTTCTATTAAATTTTGTTTTTAGCTTCTTAGGATAATTGCAAATACTCATTAAATTGGGCTGTTTGTCCAGAAAAATCTATAAATCATGCTGGCTGGTGTGGCTCACTTGATTGGAGCATCATCCCATAAACCAAAAAGTAATGGGTTCGATTCCCAGTCAGGGCACATACCTAGGCTGCAGGTTGAGTCCCTGGTCAGGATGTGTACGAGAGGCAACTGATCAGTGTTTCTTTGACACTGATGTCTCTCCCTCGCTGTCCCTCCTTCCCTTCTCTCTAAAATCAAGCATGTCCTCGGGTGAGGATTGGAAAAAAAAAAAATCTTTAGTCATTTCTGGGATTCCTGCTAAATAAAATGTTTTTATGTTAAAAAGTTCTCAGGGCTAAATTCTAGAAATTGCTTTTCATTTTAGTAGGGGTTTTGAATATTTATAGAGTGTTTTAGAAAGGAGAGAATGCATTTTAATTCCTGGGCCTTTAAATCACCTTTCTTATCAAACCCACCACTCCACTCAACTCAAAAAGTTGAAACTGTTGTGAATTTTTGTGTCCTTGTCAGGATCCATCAATTAAGGGAACCTTTCACTGGTCTGGCAATGAACAGATGACGAAGTATGAAATGGCGTGTGCAATTGCAGATGCCTTCAATCTCCCCATCAGTCACTTAAGACCAGTAAGTACATGGCATTTAAAACCTCGCTTTTTGAAAGTCCAGAACCATCACTGTAGTGTGTATTATTGATAACATTTGCTTGTTGCTTTGGAAGTAACTTGATTTTCCAGTATGAATCACAGTGACCTTCACTTGTATGTTGGCAGTTTATATTGTTACTTTTTTCTAAATTCTTATGTATAAAGAAGCCCATTGGTATTGATGATTTTGTAGAGAAAGTATTGCCTTGATTGTGACAGCCTTTTTAAAAAAAAATTTTTCCAGGAATCAAATCAGATTTCTTGCACTGAGGACAAAGTGAAGTAGAAAAATATAAAAACCTCAACATGTAGCCTTTCATTTATTTTTAATTTTTTGTTTTTATTTTTCTTCAAAGATAACTGACAGTCCTGTGTTAGGAGCACAACGTCCAAGAAATGCTCAGCTTGACTGCTCCAAATTGGAGACCTTGGGCATTGGCCAGAGAACACCATTTCGAATTGGAATCAAAGAATCGCTCTGGCCTTTCCTCATTGATAAGAGATGGAGACAAACGGTCTTTCACTAGTGTGCATGTGTTGTCCTTTTTTTTTTTTTTTTTTTTTTTTAAATGATAGAGTATGTGGCACTTTTTAAAGAAAAAAGAAAATAGTTTTGTATGAGTGCTCTTTAATTGTGACTTAACGATCTTTCAGGTAAATGATGTTCTTGCACTAGTGAAATTATGTAAAGAACTAAGGTCAGTAATGCCTTGTTTGAAGTAATAATGTTTGTTTTCCTCATTTTGTTTGTCCTGGCTTACCTTGCTGTTTGAGTATAGTAGATTATGATTCTTCAATATTTGAGAGCCAGGATGAAACCGATCTGCTGTAGACTTTTGCGAGGGAGGGAATGAAATGCATTGTTCATTCCTCTAACCTCTACAGTTTCAGGACTATTGCAACTTTGACCCTTTTCTGTTTTAAAAGTGTTAAATAGTATGAAAATCATTGTTGTTCATTGTTTGCTTTGCTTGAGCCCAGATCAAAATGTTTGAAGAAAGAAACTTTATTTTTGCAACTTCAGTACAGTTTTTATGCTTGATACATGTCCACATGTTGTGTATATTGGCACTCCTGCCGCTCGATGCCTCCTGCTTTTGTAGCAGCGTATGGTGAACACTTGAGAATATGTGTGTTTGTGTCTGTAATTTTTAAATACATATAAAACTGTCCTTTTCACTCCATGTCACTAAGTGATATTTCATATGTGCGATTATACTAATAATAATGGGCCTTGTCTTTTGACCGTTCATGAATAATAATAAATAAGTACTGCTGGCATGGTAATGCTTAGTTTTCTTATAGTTCCTTTTTTTAAATTTAAGAACCAGCCATCTAAACTTAGTGTTATTTTGTTGCTTTCATTTTTAAAAATTATATTCTTACCATGTAATATCTGATGCATCCAAGAGAATATATAGTTAATCTGTTGAGACATAAAACAGGGTAAAAAGGAATAGGATGAACCCACCACTTGAGATCTAGAATGTTACAGATACTGTATCTACTTGTGTCATTTGTTTTTTGTTTTTTGTTTTTTTTAACTAAAATGAGTGTAATCTTGTTACACATTTACACTGAATGTTCCCTCTGAAGAATGTAGAATGATGAATGTGCTATCTGTACCCAGTAATGCTCAGGTGACCTTACCTCAACAATCTCTTTGGTCCCCAGGAAGGAAGTGGAAAAGGTAGACGGCTGGTACGACTTGGCTTCTGTTCAGAGGTCAGTGAAGACCCTGCTTTCAGATTTTCTGATTGTACTTGTTGGGTATTCTTTCCCTAGATCATGATCTTCCTTTCTCATTGGATAAAAAGTCCTAATGTACTTAGAATTGGGGGTTTAGAGAAGATCAGATTTGGGTGATTTGGTTAAAATAGCAATCCCAAAACCATGCTGTGTTTTATAAATAGGGATGTATTGACTGATCGAATGCCTGAGCCCTACTCTGGACCCACAGAAATAGAGTTTCTGGAATCGATGCTTGCTAATTTAGGTTTAAATGTTGCCAGGTACTTCTAAGGTAGCCAGCCTGGCTCATAAATTTGAAACCTTTTCTTTTTTCTTTTTTTTTTTTTTTAAGTTACTTCATTTCATATAGTACAAAATTCAAATTTTCAAAGTTAAAACCTTTCTCATCCTTCTAGCCACTGATTGTTTCCAACTGAGGAAGAAACCAGCATTGGTCAGGTTCTGGTGTGTGTTTCTGGAGGTGCTCTGCATATGTGTCTATACTCCCAACCATCCTTTTATTTACACAAAGAGTAACGTAATGCCCATTTTTCTACACTTTGTTTTTCTTCTCATTTAATACGCCTTGGAGTTTGTTTAGTCCATGTAATTTTTTATTATTCATTTTGAAATTTCAGTCTTACAGAAAAGTTGGCATAATAGCATAGAGAATGCCTATATTCCTCTTCCAGATTTTCCAATTTGTCAACATTTAGCCACATTTATTATTTTCTTCCTCTTTTTTATATGCACACACAATAAGGTATGTTTTTTCCCAAACTATTTAAGAGCATGTTGCAGCCAAAATGCCAAATCACCCACTTTATAGTATATAAACCTAACTATGTTTTCTAAAAATAAGAACATACTTCCACATAACTCTGTAATATAACAATTGAAATCAAGAAATTAACATTATTGATACAAATATCTAATCCACAGATGGATTCACATTTCATCAGTCACCCCAGTAATGTCTTTTCTAAGTCAGTTGTTAGTCATCGTGCTTTAGCTTCAGTCTGGAACAGTTCCTCAATCTTTCATGATCTGGACATTTTTGACATCTCTCTCTACATATGACACCATAAATTCACATTGATACCTCCGATTCCGGTCCTGCTCCCCAGGGTTTATTTTAGCTTTCCTCTTTCTGTATCTGTAGCTTCTTTACTCATTTGTTGACATCGTCAATAAAAATCATTCTTCCGATCACACCAGGTGCCCCCTGCTCCCCTCATCACCCAGGCCTCCTTGAGCCTATTGAGCATCCCTGAGCGCTGGGCCATGGCTCTGACGTCAGGGACAGTGGGCCAGATCTGTCACTAGTAGCAAACAGTGTATAGGTGAGTTGAGAGAACTTGCTGACTTGAAAGGCAGTATTTTATATAGTGGAAAAAAGTCAGATCTGGATTTGAATGCGATCCTAGCAAGTGACATTTTTCTTTTGAGTTTCAGGTTCTGTTTCACCAGCCTGTTGTGCAGATGCCTGGAGCACAGATAACTAGCACCTGTAGCATTGGGCTTACTGCGTGCCTGTGGGGTGGGGCTTGCTATACCTGGTACCATAGTAAAGACTCCCTAATTAGTGATGGAGAGAGCCATTGTTAGAACCAGGTTTGCCTCATGTATGTTAATAATACCATATACATAAGAGTGTGCGGTTCATCTAGTAGAGACCTAACCCCCAGATTAGGGTAAGCAATTTTTGATTCCTTGCTAGATTGTTAAAGAGTTCCCATACAGTTCACAGGTCCAGTAATTGGCACTCAGCTTTCTCATGTCCACTTAGTCTTCCTGTTTTGTGTCGTACCTTCATCCTCACCTTGACACGTCACTGCCCACTGCCCCCGCCTTCCATTCCAGAAATTATGTTAGCCTCTCCAAAGGGTAGAAGTCCAGTAATCTGGAGGTGGTGGGGAGGGGATCTGGGAATCTAATTTCACTCAATTCTTTGTACTCTTTCTCTTCTCTTTCTTCCAAGACTCGGAGTATATGGTCTGAGCCTTTTCAGGATTTTCAAAGTAAATTACTTTGGTTCTCAGTGTCCCCGCCATTGGCTACAGTTCAACCCCTTTTGGGGATGGTTAACTCATTTACCGTTAGTCCCCTTTTCTTTCTGGCTTCCCAGATTTTGTTATTAGGTCTCCTTTCCAGTTCTCTCTAGTCTTGTTATTGTGTGTCTTCTTAAAAAATACATTTTTCACTGGGGTTTTGGGAGGAAATGGTACATGCGTGTATTCCATCCATCATCTTAAAATGGAACTTCTTACTTACATGGATTTTTATAGGCTTGGATCATGAATCTCTTCCTGACTCACTTTATGAGCTGCACATTGTTTCCTTTAGTTTGACAACTTCCATTGCAATTTTGGTGATCTGACCAACTTGAATTGCTATTCTTTGCCATTATGCCTTTGGGAAAGTTAGCTAACCACAACTGGAGCATAGTGTCTTAGATAAGGTAATCGCTTAATACAAATGAAGCACCAAATTAACCATTTTATTTTGGGCTATTAATATTGCCTGGATTTCACCTGGAAAAAATGACACAGTTATGAGGCATGAGTGCATGGTTGAGTGTCTTTTGGTTAAATACACTTAAATATTTCTTGAACTCCTGGGGATTTCTTAAACACTGCCCAGGTTAAGCTTGAAAATTGAGAACAGTCAATTCTCTGATTCTGCCAAGAGCACTTTTTGGGAGATGCATGGGGGTCAGCATGTCATATTAACATTGTAGATCTAAAAGAAAGCTAATAATGTTTATCCTTCGCCTAATGTCCCAATCTGTTCTTAATGTCAGAATTTTTATATTTTCATTTGTGAGATACAATTTAATTCCATTTTCACAAGCAGTATTTGAATTACCTTTGCCCAGGGTGGTGCTGACTAAATACCAACTGATAATAAAATTAATATTAAAATATATTTGGGCACATTAATGATGATCGATCTGGGTGCAAAAATAGGGTAATTTGCTACAGTGTATTAGTTTTCTGTGAGGCTTTAACAAATTACCACCAATGTAGTGGCTTAAACAATTTGAATGTGTAGCTTCCAGTTCTGTCAGTGAAATGCCTGACACACAAATCACTGGACTAAAACCAAGGTGTCTCCAGGGTGTATCCCTTTCTGGAGGCACTAGGAAAGAATAAATTTCCTGCTCATTTAGGTTGGTAGAACTCAGTTCCTTGTGTCTGTGGGAACAAAGTCCCCATTTTCTTGCTGGTTATAAGCTGAGGGCTGTTGGCAACTTCTACAAGTCGCCACACTCCTTGGCTTGTGGCCTCTTCATCTTCAAAGCCAGCCTGAGTGGGTTGAACCCTCGTGTCGGATCTACTCAGTCCTTCTGTCTCATCTCTCTCACCACAGCCAGAAAAGCTCTAGTTTTAAGGACGCATGTGATTAAATCGGGTGCCCCAGAGAATCAGGGATATTCTCCCCTTCTCAAGGTCAGTAACCTTAAATCGCATCGACAAAGTCTATTTTTCCACGTTAGGCTCTGGGGTTCAGGTTGTGGACATCTGCGGGCGACCATCATCCTGCCTACCGTGTAAATTCAATGCAGTTCTGTAACGAAAAAAAAAATGAAGTTATTTCGAAACAGCAGCTTGCACACTCAAGGTAAAAATGTTCTAAAATGAATGTGTCCCGTCATTTGCTTAAATTTGTTAAATCAGGATAACAGAAACACAGTGAGCCTTTGACAGTTTACCTTCTTCCCAAATCTGGTTATTTTATTTTTACTTTGTCTTTGTTTAATCTTTGGTAAGATTCTTCATTATAGCAAAGACTGTATTTTATGCTTTTGTAAATATTGACTGCATCCACCCCCAAAGTGACAGCCATCACAGTGGGACAGATAAAAATAGGACTTTCTCTTCTTGCCATTCTCATCGTCATTTAAATGGAAATCAAATTGAAATGGAGATACTGAATAGTTTAAGAGGCAAATGTTGCCTTTCTGTGCTATCTCTTAACCCAAAAACTTCAGTGTGATCCTAAGACAAGACTGGCACTATTGTCTGCTGTCCTTTGTCATGCTCCAAAAAGCAGTTGATTATCTTGGAAGGGCTTCAAAAGCAATTAAGAAAATCCCTTATGTGAAGTTATATTTCAGACAGGACAAATTAGACGTATGGGGAAACATCCTGATAAAGTACTTGAGAAATAATGAATCTGTGTACAATTTGTAATTGCTCCTGCAAAAATTTACAACATAAAAGGAGTCTGTTAACCTGAGACTGGAAACTCAGAGATGTATTTTTTTTTCCATTACAAATGCAAATGCTTTATGAAATTGAGTCCAGAGCATTTTTAAATGTCCCAAATATAATTCAAAACATTGTTTATTACATTTCTGTTGGGGCTCTTCAGTGCGACACCAACTGCTTTGTAAAGGCTGAGTTTTAAGGCAGCAGGTCTGCGATGGAAAGATGGCCTACGCGGCTCAGTGAGGGGCAGGGAGGCCCCAAGGGCCCAGTGCCACGAGAGGATGGTGGTGGACTGTGATTGAAAAGACATTTCAGTTGTTACGTGTCTGGGAGATGGTTGCATTCAGTTTCTTCATGAATTACGAGATAGATAATCTTCAGTCTGCATAACCCTATCCCGGTGACCACAGAATAACAAGGGCCAACGACGACCATATGAGTTGTTGGGGACAGGAGTCCACGGTTTTGAGTGTCAGTGGCTGGGAACACTCAGTCACAAATAGGTGTCATTTAGATAGAGTATTTTCATCACAGTCCTGGGAAATCCAAACACAATTTCCCTCCTTTATGAACTGCTATTCCCTTCTGAGTGAAACGATTTCAACTCTTCCAAACTATTTTATCCTCAATAAAATGAAATTTACCCTAACTTTTGAAGTATGGATGTGCCCATTGCTAATTTTTTCCCCCGTGGTAACATTAGCAAATGGGAAATTGTTCTAGGCTTATACAATATTTATAGGCCAGTTCTTACTTGCGAAAGGATTGAAGGTCTCTTAAATATGAACTGTTTCCAAATAACCTTGGGCTCATTTTTCATCTTCATCCAAATCCCATAGAAGCAAACCAATCATGAAGCTCTCTGAAAAGTCACCAGGAGCCCCAGGCTCAGAACCCAACTG